TCCGAGTCACGTATCCATTATGCGGTCAATCATCTAGAATCAACAATCCGAAGTGCTTACAATTCTAACCCCACTTCTAAACCTTTTGGATCCTTCAACTTAAAAATGCCTCCGGCTTTATGCAGATGATTAAAAGGAGTCGCTACCTTAAATTAAAATATATAAATACAGGCTTTTTTTAGAGACAAAAAAGCCTACAACAAAGTTAATAATTTATTAAAGAAGAAATTGATAAACTTAATAACAAACTTTGGGAACAAAAGCTGAAATGTGTAAGCCCTGCGGACTCGTCGTTATGGAACTAAAAAGGTCTCTCAACCCTTACCGCTATATATTAAGTATATCACCCATACCATGAAAAGAGCGAGCACATACTGTCAGAGATGAATCTATGTTTTTGTTCAATAATTGTTCACGAGAGTTTCACTACGACCCAAGAAGTGGGGCCTCCGTATCAGGCGACCTCTAATCATGACTTAGACAATCTTTGTTTTACTAGTTGGGAAGAAATAGTAAAATATAATCAACTCGTTAAAGACCAAAAAGGCTGTGGGACCAGACGATATATCAAACCTAAGGTTCAAAACTTTAATGCTAAGGATATTGCCTATGTAAACGAGCTTTTTAATCCGATGTTACCTATACCTTACTTTCCAAATCGTTGGAAGTTAGCAGTTGTTTTTATTTCCAAATTAAAAAATCAGGAAACTTTATTAAAGACTATGGGCCCATAAGTTTACTATCCTGCATTGACAAGTTAACGGAGGCTGTGATACTCGCAAGATTAAAAAACTTTACGAAAGAAAAGAACATTATTCCAAAGTGTCAATTTGGTTTCCTTAAAAAACATTCCATTACAAAAGATTCTAAGACTTACAGAATGTTACTAAAGCCTTTAACTTTTAAAAAATTACCGCAATAGTATTTTTAGACGTTGAAAAAACCTTCGATAAAGTTCGTCACAAAGGACTTGTCTATAAGATGGTCAGGTTTAATTTTCTAGATCCTTAGTCCGGATGACAAAATATTATTACGTAGAAAATTCACAGTCAGTATTGGAACAGTTAATTCAGTTCTGGGGGAGGGAGAGGGGTTTAAACTTTGGAGCCCCTCAAAGATCGGTTTTATCGTCGCTTTTATTCGCGATTTATATAGAAGAGATTACAAATCATTTATCGTATTACTAGCCCAATATACGGACGACACAGCTATATTCTGCGGCTCTAAATCGACGGCACCGGCTATTAAACACTTAACAATTTACTTGTACACTTTGGAAATTTGATTTACTGAGGATAACGATCAATTTTTTAAGAGTGCAGCAATGACAACTTCAAGAAGAAGAGTTAATATTCAAAAGCGCTAAGCTCTATATTTATTTAAAATTGCTATTCCGCGGAGTTCTCGTATTAAGCACTCAGGAGTTATTATAGATTTTAAGTTAACATGGAACGCTCATGTTGAGTATGTTCTGAGAAAAGTGAACGCTGCCATGAATGTTCTATACCCATTATTATGTGGGCGCAGCATACTCTACCTCACAAAAAAGCTGCTTTTATATAAATCTATTATTCGCCTAATTATGTATGCTTCCGTTTGTTGGTCCTACTCTGAGCGTCATAAATAAGTTTAATACTCAGAATAATCACTGATACTCTATGGTTCATACGTAATGCTCAGTTACACCTTGACTGCCAAATGAAAACAATCAAGACTTTGTCCTTACAAATGCGACTAAATACTATAAAGATTACAGTAAACATACCAATAGTTTATTAGCCACTACTGTTAGTTATAACCAAGACCAGTATTATCAGGTATGAAATACCTAAATACATCTAAAGACCGCTTCCTTTGAACCTTTATTTATCGCCCTAATTATTAGCCGTTTACACATTTATAATATAATTTAATTTACACTTTATTAAATGATAAAAATCCATATATAAAAGTGACAGAATACATATAAACTATTATTTTAGTATGCTTAATCGACTTAAGTATTATTATAGTTCAATTAGCACATTTTAAAAAAACAGCGTATTATAGTATATTAAATATTATCGCTTAAATTATTTTATTATTATTTACTAATCTTATTTTATTCTCTTTATTCTTGATAATAAAATAGATCTTTTTTTTGTTTTGTTGTTGCTGTCTACTTCTTTCTTCTTATAACTTGCCCTTTGGCTGGTACTCAAACACGGAACATGAAACTCTTCGAGGTGGGCTGGATCCTTCTTCACCTCTCTTATAGTTTAAAAGGAGGATAAGGATTAAGCAGCAAAAATATGCTGTGCATATAGACTGTAGTATGTCAGGAAAAAAAAAATATAATTAAATATAAAGCTCTATTAAGGACGTTTAAATACATGTTAAGTAATTTGTGTTTGCTACCTTTTTGTTTAGCCGTTTTTATTAAACTTGTGAGAACTTCCTTGAGTTGAGAAATACAACCTTAACATTAGAAGCTTGTATCCAGTAAATATAGAATTTTTTATTTTTTAATTTGCGGCTTTAAAGTAGGCCAATACGTTACATATAAAATAAAGTACCTGAGTGAGGCCTCTTGCTAATATAATTAACGTTATTAGAAAACGTCAAATACCTTTAAATGGTATTTAGATAACGCATGAGGCCATTTGTGCAAAGAGAAATATCATTCTTCAGAGATGAGCAAAAATAGAAAAAAACCGGAGTAGCTTAATCACGTAATTTAATAGAAAACATAAAGAGTGCCAGGAAAGGATAAGTCAATTTTCTTAAAACAGTAGTAAATGTATAAGTTGTAGCGTTGAAAATTGATCTAATCTTAAACTGGCACAAACTTATATACACGTTTTGTAAACTGTGGGCTTGGACAAACTTTTTTTCAAATGTTTTTAGTGTATAAATTAAATTTTATTTGAGTAGGCAGATCTCAAAACAAAGATTTATATAGAGAGTCACATTACAGTTGCGCAAGTAAAAGGAGTAAGTTTATACCCAATTCGAGCTCACAGTTTATAACGTATATCTACGTTTGCACCAGTTAAAAGGTTAAAAAGATTTTCATGAAATATAAATTTCAATCTTTAGGGAGCCTACTTCCCGACAATTAAGGGTTTAAAGGTTAGCTAGTAAATAGGATGTATATCTTTGCCTGTAGCGCGTCAATCTCTTAAATAAATAAATAAGGATTCGCTTTTACAAGGAGGATAAATTTTAGCGGTATATAAAATAGTTTTCTGTAGCCAAAAAATTGTGCTATTCAAGTTAAAAACTAAGAGCTGTTATAATTAATTTTCTTGCATTATTCTATTATAATTTTAATTGTGAGATCATAAGAGGACATTTAAGATACCATATACTTTTGGATGATATATTTTATTTAAAGTACCGAATAATTAGAAGTAAAAACTTAGAGCTCAACGCTAAAAAGCTCTAGTTACTTTTGTCACTGAACAGAGCTCTTGTCGTATGTTAAAATAACGATTAAATTGTATGAGAGTTTTGTTTAAATCCTGTTAGGTGGTAAACACTGCCGAAAGTCGTCGAAACTGTTAGTTTATCAAATGTTAACAATCAAGTAGTGCTTTATAATATTGGTTTCAATTAAAGGACAAGTGCTATAAATTTTCGGACCAAAAACTTTGATAATATATTAAATGTAGTATAACTTGAGTTTTTTTATTTACTCTGACAGTAGTTAGTTATTTATAATTTTGAACGATTTATTAAAAAAGAAAGTTAAACTGGTATACTATAACGACTAATATTAGAACTTTTTTGTGAAATTTTTACACAATAATTTACTCCATTTCATAGTTCATATATTTATAAAATATGTATAAAACACCCTTAACTTACTAAACTTTTAATTCTCATAAAGTATAAACCTATAACTAATAGTTTGAGCGAGTAGATGAAGTTAACTCACTTTTATGTTAAATATATTAGAGAAGACTAGCAAAAATTATTGTATGTGAAGAACGCTTATTTAAGCCTCGCATAGGATACACCTTACTTTATAGCACAAAAAAATATATCTTTTTGTGCTCCCAAACATAAAATTATATCCTCTTTATTCTCTATTTAAAGTTTTTAAACAAACTTTTATTACAAAGTTCTTAGAATTTAACACAAGTGTCGTTAATAAGACAAAAAACAATTTAAGCTTGAAAAAATAACCAGTCTACATCTCTCTTCACATAATACTACCTAGTGAATACACCTCCATCTCTACTGAAATCACAAAGCAAAAACTAACCATTTGCGCAAATCCTGCTTTAAAAAAAAAGTTTTAAAGTAATAGAAATTTCTATTATATTGTGAAGATAATTTCTGGCTAAAACCGCACAACTAAATCGCTATACTAACCAACAATAATAGCAGTTCTGAGAGCCCTCCAGCAAACTGCAGAAGAGGGAGCATATAGTTTAGGGGCCTATAACGGCGGAGCTATAAAATAAAGTTATTAGAGGTCTCTGGTAGAACCGCTATATAATAATTTTAAAAAACAGCTGGTGAGTAGCTATAATACACATTTGATGTAGTCCAAAAAAATTTATTAATAAAAATTCTACGTAAAAATCATGAGTTCTGGTCGTCAACATAGCTACCATTCTGAAAGTGCAATCATTTCGCAAACTCACTATGAAAATGTAATTAAAATTGACTTTAATTTTTATATTTAGTTTTTTTATTTTTTATTATGTCATAGGTTTTGCGTGAAAATAGATCTCTTTTACACAAACTTGATACTTTACAGCAGGAAAACAAAGCTTTAAAGAAGAGTGTTTATGAATTAAGCGTAAGGTGAATACTTTGACAGCTTTTCTACTAAACTATTAAATTTCTCTCTATATAATATTCGCCTTTTTACCTTTTTTAAAAAAAAAAATATAAATTTCTTTAACTTTATATTAATTAGAAATGATATACTAAACCAGCAGCGCTTAAAGCAATTTAACTTGAATGTAGAAAATTATTATAATTACGGAGGTGCAGGTCTTGTAAATAGTAGCTTAGCTGCTAATATGAGCTCAACTTCATTAGATAACTTTTATAAAATAAAAATTACGGAAAAGTCCCCTAACTATTGTACTCATAACAAAGAAAAAAGTGATGAAAATTTAAAAGGATCAACTGGAGAATTTCAAACTCAAAGAGATCACGTAGCTCTGCATGGTTTATCAGCACCATCATCCGAAGTGCATAATAAAGAAGGCATACTATTCCTTTTAGAAAATGACTTATATTGTCTTCGTTTATTTTTATTAATATTAATTTTTTTATAGCGTATGTACGTGAGGTTTGACGGCTTAATTTTTAAATTAAGATTTTTCTTTTTACTTCATACTAATTTACTTTTTAAATTTAAATCCTTTTATAAGATTAAGAACTTTACAATACTGTTTATTAGGTAAAAGTCTTGCTGTTATGGCCGGAAACGTAGTGGGAAATTTCACACCGACTATTCACTCTAAAAATGTTTTAACTAATTTATATTTATATAAAATAATTTGAATGAAGACTGAAAATAATCCTCATTCTAATTTTTTTTTTAAACTTTTATAAATATTTATAAAGTTTGAAAATATTTTATTATACTTTTATGTTATTATTAATAATTTTTTGGAGCCTTCAGAGAACGATTTTTTGTCATAGAAAAAAAAATTTAAGTAAAAATTTTACTTATCAGTACAAAATCTTAAAAGGATGAAAAGAAAGTACTTAGCAATTTCATACGCGACAGTATACCTCTTACCAAAGAATTTGAGCGGCCTATAGACAAAGGCACTGATTTTATTTAACTTTTACGAATTTGTGAATAAAACTTATTTTTAGGGAGTGAGAAGCACAGAGACGGCCGTCATTTTTCTTATAAAGGAGATTTTAAAGTTTTTATATATTAGTAAAATTTTTATTTTTTGTAACCGTTTTAAATAAATTCATGAATAGGTTATATTAAAAGAATTAAAACAAAATACTTTTTTTAAAAAAATTTATTTACTTTTTATTCAAGTACGAGAGTTAAATAACGAATCAAAGTTGTAATTAATTTCATGATTTATTAATCTTTTTTATCATAAATTTGTACATAATAAAAAATCTTATATAAGGAGACAAACTTTTTAGGGGCATACCGGCGCCGTTTATGCGGTGAAGTACTCGCCGTGCGGAAATGTTCTCGCCACTGGAAGCTTCGATAAGAGCATTTGTTTTTGGGATGTCCAACAGCAAAAACTGGTCCGTTTACTTTTAATTAAAAAAATTTCGAAGTAAATTTTAATTTTATATATTTTGTATAAATTTATTCATTGTCTAATTTTTTTATATTAAAATAATACAACTGGAAATTTAAAGAAATAAAGGTTTGATTTGGATTTAGATTTTTTTTAATCTATCGTAGTAAATTTAAATCTTCGATTTAAAATTTAGTTAACTTAATTTCTTCTAATTTTAATTGATTTTTTTTATTTAAACTAATAAATAAATTAGATTCATAGTTTAACTCATCACAACATTATTGTTGCGGATCTATGTTGGTTTGTAGATGGAAGTTTGCTTGTTTCCGGTTCTTATGATTCTTTTGCTAAAGTAAATTTATTATTATATTTATTTTCTTTATTATTATTATTATTAATACTTATGAAAGGTGATTGACGTGTTAACTGGAAATGCTGTATACGAATATAAAGTTGAAGGATTTGCACACGCTGTTTCTTTTAATTCAACAAGTAAATCTTTTTATGAATTATTAATATTATTACTATTATTATTATAAAAGATAAAAATATTATAATTGTGGGTACCACGCGCAACCAACTTCACGTGCAGGACTGCCGGTTGTTACCCAACGAAACTGCGCTTGCCATTTTTAACGATGCGATGATCAATTCAATGTAACCTTTTTTTTTAATAATAATTATGATAATAATAATAATAGTAATAATAATAAGCTACGCATATCGCGATGGTACATATGTTATTACGGGAGACTCCAAGGGAACCTTGAGCACTTGGGATCTGCGAATAGGTTTCTTTTTCTGTTTACAATATTTTTGTTTTTTATTAAAACTTTTTTACTTTTATTTAAATAAATTTAAATGAGTAATAATAGATTTCAAAAAATTATGAGAAGATAAAAAATATATAATACAAAATAATAATTATTGCTTTATTTCTTTTATATTTTATTTGGAAAATAAAAATTATTTTACCTTTTTTTTATTGGTTATTAAAAGATTTATAGTTAAAGAAAGTAAACTATTATTAGTATTAAATCAAATTTGTATGGAACTGTCGATAAAAAGGTGTATTATATATGAGTATATGCATAATTAAGTAAGATATTGAAGTGTATATAATGAAAATATAAATACAAGTAAAGGATAAATTTAAAGCAGAATGTTTTATTGACTGGTTTTCGGCGTGTAATACTCTTGCAGATCAAAAAAACGCTTCTATATTTGTATAATTACTTAATAGTACCTGATTGGTTATACTTTGTTAGTTTGTATCCAATAAATAATGTGGGTTAAATTATTTTTTATGCAGTAGAAAATAAATTTCTCTTTTCCTGTATTTTTATCAATGGTTGTCAGTATTTAATTGGTTTCTACACGGATTATTTTTCCTGTGGAAAATTGGGAGGGGGGGGCGGGGGGGAAGACGGGGGTTGATTGGCGTATTTGTAACTATAATTAGTGTGTTTATAATTAATGAATTATACTATTTATTGTGTTTATGTCCTATTTTTTTATATATTTTTCTATTGTATTATGTTGTGTTATTAAGTTACATTATTATATGCTCAAATGGTCACTTCTTTTTTGGCTTTGAATTTAAATTTTATTAACATGGTTTAACAAATAACATTTTTTTTCCATAAAAAGTTTTTAAACTTTTATTTAAAATATGTATTTTTTATATTTTTATATTTTTCAATAAAGATTTTTTAAAGAGAAAAAAGCTACCAAAAAACTATAAGTATGTTGTTTTATAATACAATCAAATTTATTTTAATTCCTATTGGGGAGGCGAGAGCGCTTTATTTTACTCTATTGTTTGGTATTGTGTGGAAAACATTATATGATTGGTCGCCTTTGTAGGCAACTTATTACAAGGTTGAGGCAATTTAATTGTACTAAAAAATACAAAAAAAGTTTATATTTAGTAAAGTTATTATGAAGTCAATTTTATTTTAGGTACTTTCGGTTTTTATTATGAAATTCAGAGATTTTTATTTCTTTGCTTCTTTATCCCAAAATTTTCATAAGGAAAAGCTATTAGCTCGACGCTCAACAGTGAAGGAAGGCACTCTATATCCTGCATTCACGTACCTTCACAGGGCAGTTCCAGTGACCCTTCACGCGAGGAAGAAAGCAAATATCTGGCAGTCAACAGTTATGACAATGTCGTATGTCAACTTTTTAATGAATTTTTATTTATTGTCGTTTTCATTGGTGCATTTTTTCATCTTAACATCAAAGATACACGTATATAACCGCGGAGCCATGCCGCCTTCGACGACTCTGCGAACTACAGCGCTTCTTATAGGCCACGTGAATAAAAACTGGCCAATCCGCTCTTCTTTCTTTCTTGGGAAAAATTGTACTTATTTGTTCTCTTTTATTTTTATATTACAAAAGTTGAGACGAATAGACGAAGGCTGGCCTGTACCTGCTAACGATGAACAATCTTCACAAAACTTTGAGAATATGATAAAGTTATTATAATAATAATAATAGTAATAATAATAATTAAAGTAATAACAATTATAATAATGAGGAATCCGAGCCAAAAGTCTGTGCATAACACGCTGATATTGGCTACTGGAAGCGCCGATGGTTTTGCTTATATTTTTGATGTTGGGGACGGGCATTCTTCTTGCATTCAACGCCTTCACGGGCACAGCGATCGTGTGTAATATTTTCATAATTATATATTATGGTTGCTGATCATATTCACATTTATTACTATTTATAAATTGTTATTATATTATACATTCATAATAATTTACAGCGATGGGTGTATTAATATTTTTATTATATTAATATATTTGTTGTTCACTACATTTTATTCTTTATATTTACATTTTTTCTTTTTAGTTATGCTGTAGACTTTCACCCCTGTGAGCCATGGTTGGCCACTGCCTCGGCGGACTGTTTAGTTAAACTTTGGAGCGCAAAGTCACAACTTTTTCTGCGGGATTTTGATAATTGATTCGTTTTTTATTGTACAGAAGTTATTACTAGTAGTATTATTAACGAAAATTGGTGAGTAGAAAAAAGATATTTTGATAGTAACCAATAGAAAAATAGGTTGAACTAGTTTTTCTGGGACTTTTTTTTTTATGATTATAAAGAAACTATAAAAGTAAAGTGATTTATACTGGAGGTTTTTTTCATTTTTATTTAATGAAAAATATTGTTTCTTTCCTCCAACGAGCCCGCCCTAACCGCGATTGCAGCCGTACTTGAAATTATCGAGAATGTAAACACTGCCAATATTATAAGTAATAAGCTCACGTGGCCATGTGTGAACTTTTATTATGATTTTGATACTAAAAATATATAAAAGCAAAATGTAAAACGACCAATGCACTTCTGACTTATATATGAAACTATATGCAACGAAAATAGTGAACGCGCATAAATGATGTCTTATTATCAGTGCTTTTAAAAAATCCGATACACGTGAAGCCTGCCGCGTTCGGTAAAAGTGCACATGAGGTCCTGTCCAATCGCTATCGATAAGACTCCGTCCGCGTGGCGATCGGTGATAGTTCCCAGCGGAGCTCCCGTGAGCATATCCCAGAAGAGAAGCTCTCCCGCCGGACCGGAGGCGACCAATAGATTTTCAGCCACAGTGCTATCGGCCACGTGGAAGGGAGCATGAAAACTTTTTAATTCGGCGTATTCGAGTCTGCCAAGGCAGAGGAGAGTAAACCCTATACGCGCAGCTTAAAAGTAAAAAAAATTCAAAAAAAGGCGAATTAGTAAAGGCACTTGATTGACTATTCTGGACCACTAAAAAAAGATACTCTTCACGCGGATGCAGAAAAATGTGCAGCGGGGCACATGGCAAAGAAAGTTGGATCGAAGTAAAAAGAAAATTTTCCTTTACGTTCCTGAAAGAAAAAAGGTAAAAAAAGGTAAAAAAAAAGTTATAAAAAAGATGAAGAGCAGCACTTTACCAGAAATATAAGGAATTCTCGCTGGCCACCACTGCAAAGACGCCTTTTTCTTTATCACACATAACCGAAAGGAACTTTTCGGCCGCGTCCTCCACTACAATACAGCGACTCTCTGAAATCACAAGCTCATTGGCGGCGCCCGATTCGTTATAATAAATGATCGTGATAGTATTGCAGGTGTTTCTTATAAATATAAGGCAATTTCGCTCGACTGAAGCAAAAACGTCAAAAGACGAACAAAAGTAAGCCTCTACGCTTTTATTATTATTATTATTATTATTATTATTATTATTATTATTATTATTATAGTTCAATGGCTCTTTTAATAACAATAAATTCTGCGTAATCAGTAAATTCTGCCCATTTTCCAAAGAATATAATCTTTCATAAAAAAATATTACAAATATGGGAACCAATAAACAACCAGCAAACCTAAAAACTTCCGAGGTAAAGTGACCAGAAACTATCAGATAAGCGCTGGAAAAAGAAAGGCTCAAAAAATGACGACATTCAGAATTCTATTAAAAATATTTAAAAAAAAAAAAATTAATAAAAAAGAAAAGTAGTTTAAAGAAATCTTAAAAAAGTTGGCAACGAAATTCTTAACAAAAAAATTGTTTCTAAAAAATTTAGTAATAAACACAATTCATTCTAATTGACTGTTAATTTAAAAAAGGCGGTTGGTTCGTTGTTGGGCTATCAGTACGTAAAATAATGAATTTTTTTTTTTTAAAAATATTATAAAAAATATATAGAAGTTAACCTTCTTTATACTAAACTTCATCAACCAGTCCTTAATTATATCTGATATAATAGTAATAGCAGTAATAATAATAATTTCAGTCAAAAGTTATTCTTAAGAAGTAAAAGTTTTACTTATAATTATAAACTTTACAGTTCCCTATATATTTACTTGTTAGTTATATTATAATAATTATTACTCTTAATTGTGATAATATAAACTTATTAACTATGTTTAGAACAGGAAATACTTTTTATATATATAATTAATTAAAAAATATTAATTTACTTGTGAACAATACATTTATTAATTTTAAATTTTAAATTTTTTTACAAAATTATATATTTATAATAAAAAGCTTTTTTGCATCTTTAATAAAATATATGTCTTTGAATATATTAATTCAATAAACAATATTTAAGTAAAAAAATAAAATTGAAAATTCTAGATTTATTAAAAAAATACAGTTTTAAAGTAAAAGTTTTGTTTAAAATTATAAATTAAAAAATCATTAATAATATTAAACTATAGTTAAAAAGTTATAAATAATTTAATTCCAATCTCCCTAGAAGTATGCACACCGTTAACATTTAGCGTAACGTAACCAATCAATTAGTACTTAAAGTAGTAAACCATAGAAATTATTTTTATATTTTTTTTAAAAATCTTTATATTATATAATAATTTTTTTTAAAATAAAATAATCTAAAAAAGGGATTTGTAAATTAAATATTGTAGTGTTTATAATTTAAGTAATAAATTCTACAAAAGCAGAAAAAACTTTATATTTCCTTTAAGTTTCCTTCAGTTTATTTAATAAATTAAAAAAAATTATAAATAAAAAAAATTTTAAATTTTTAATTGATAAAAAATAAGATTAACACAAGCTAAAAAATTACTCTGATCTTCAATTCTCCGAAAAACTAAGACGGACTTGCTCAGAAGGGCCCCGAGATGACTGCCGTCCGGAGTGAAAGCCACTTTGAGGATTTGATCAGAACTAGTGCTTTTTTTTACACTTTTTTATATTACATTATTAATAAAAATTCCTTTAAAAAAATTTTAAAAAAATTGCCTCTGAGTTACCGTTACAGGGACATCTATACAGGAAAGTAACTCGACTGTTAGACCATTTACTTCAAATTTGGTTAAATTTTTTTCTTCATCCAATTTTATTAAGTTATTAGAATCTTTGAGGTTGTTAAAATCATTATTTATAAAATTTGATTCTGGTTCGTCTAAATTTTCTGAAGGCAGCTGAGTACTGAAAAGAGATCGTCATTTAACTTGACAATAATAAAATGTTGAAATATTAAAAAATACTTGTTCGTGGATTGGTATAATTTTTCCAATTCATTCTCAATCCTTAATAAATTTAAACGAGCCTTTTCTCTTACAGGCGACCGGGAGAGTTTTCGAGAATTTTTTTTGTCTAATCTAATTTTCTTCTGCTATATTTGATATAATAAAATCTAATATATTATAGAGTTCTTAACGGATTTACAATTATAAATGTTATTATAAAAAAAATATTTTTAAAAAATATAAAAGAATAACCTTAAATTTTATTAAGTTTCCAGTCTGCTTACTAACGCGTCCTTCACGTTCGTTCGGATTTTTAAACTAAAGGACAAAATAGCAATTATATTACATATAAAAGATACATTTTAGTACAAATTCAAAAGAAAAAAAAATGAAAAGAATTAAAAAATACATATAAATTTTTGTAGATTGAAAATAACTTTTCTAATACTTTTCTTTAACTCTGTAAAAAAGATTGGTAAAAGTTGTGATACAAAGATTTTTAATACGGCTTCTTCTGGTAGTTCTTCAAAATTAGATTTTCCTATATTATCTAGTATTGAAGCATTATCCAATGAACTCATTTACAACATTGTAAAGGTAAAACTCTATAAAACAAATACAAAAGAAATAATTAAACAAGGACGCTAAAAAAACTACTTGTTCTATAAAATTCTCTGAACACAATAAACGAAGAGCTCCTCTTATAAGTTCTTTATTTCTGCGTAAAAAAATCCTATTAAGACATTTACAAAATCTAGTATAAATAAAGATATACATGAATTAAAATAAGTGACGAGCCCGCACTAAAAATGTCAACGGAAAACTTTTGCAATAGTAATACGCGCGTGACGTTCCCCGCGCGCTGTACTTCATGCTCGGTGATATTCTTTTCAGAGCATTAAAATTGTCGTACTTTGAAAAAGTTGGTCGTAACGCATCTAAAATGACTTCCTTGTCTAAAGTATTATCTCACTTTTATATATTTTATCTGTTAATATATTTTTTCATTGCTTAAAAATTTTTCCATCTAATTAAATAAAATTGTAAAACCTATTGTTTTTTAGTTTGATAAAAAACTTTTTGAAAAAACGATGAAGACCCGTTTTTTCTTTGGACCTTCTTTTCATATATACGGCGGAGGTGCTTATTTTTATTTTAATATATATATACAATAATTAAAAAGATTGTTGTTTTTTAACTTCTTTTTCATCTTTATGTTTAGCTATCTTTTTCCTACTCCTTTTGGTACTTAGACGTTTTTTTTTAATAAATAAATTAGGTATGTCTGGTTTCTACGATTTTGGGCCTCTAGGTTGTGCTCTAAAAACTAACTTACTTGCTCTATGGAGATCTCATTTTATACTGGAGGAGAACATGATGGAAGTGGATTGCCCCATGCTCACACCAGCTCCAGTTTTAAAGTGAATATATATATAATTATTATAATTCAATATAATAATTTTTTATTTATTGTTGAAAGTTATAGATAAGACGTTTCTGGATATAAAAATTTATTTTATATATAAATTTTTGGAATTTTATGATATTTGTAGTTAGAGATTAAACATAAAACTTAAGCAACTATAACTATAACGCTCATTCTAGCTGATAATTATTAAAGGCTTTTAAGTGTTTTATTTTTAAAATAAACGAAATTTATATATTTATTTAAAAGATAATTATAAAACTATTTTTGTTAATAATAAGATTTAAAAAATTAATATCTTTTAAACTTTAAATTTTTTATTAATTTAATCATAAAATAATTAACAGTGTTTGATGAATCTATGAATAAACTTTTTAATTAACTTAAAATAAAAGTTATATATATATAAATTTTTTAATACACTTTATATGTTTTTTCGTATTTAATTTTTATTTGAATTATCACCATATTTAATAATATATTTTTTTTAAATTTTCATATATTTTCATTATTATCAAAAGTTTTATTTATTATATATAAAACTATAACGTTTTAGTTTTTTCTTATTTAATATTTATTTTGTACATTAAAATAAAATTTAAATAAAATTTTAATTAAAAACTTTTATTATTGTTCTGGTTTTTATTTTACTATTAATATTTAAAAAAAAGGTTATTTGCTTTATAAAGAAGTAATAAACGATTTATAAATGTTTATGTAGTTTCTGTACTTTACTATTATATTTAATAACTTTTTATTACTTTTATAAAAAATAATCATAATTTGTAAATATTTATATTATTCTAAACTTTACTGTTATTTTTAATATAAAAGTTTTTTAATAACTTTTTCTTACTTATAAATAATAATTATTAATATTTATATTACTTCTTGACTTTATTATTATATATAATATAAAAGTTCTCTAATAACTTTTTTCTTTACTTTATAATGAAATACTACTAATATATAAATATTTATTTATTATATTTATAATAAAAGTTTCTAATAACTTTTTTTTTATTTTTATTATTATAATAATAAAATAAATATTTATTTATTTTCAACTTTAATATTAATATTTATTTTTATAATGTTTTTAATAACTTTTTTAAACTTTATTAAAAAAAACACTAAAATAATTTTCCATTAATTATACATTTTAATCGTCTTACAAAAATGCATTACCTTTATATTCCCAACTTTTATTGTTATTAATATTTCTAAAAAAAGTTTCTTAGTAACTTTATACAAATTATTAAAGCTTATAAGAATGTAAATTTTTATATTATAATAATTTTTTATCATAAATTCAGTTTAAAAGTTAATAATAACTTTTTTAATATTTTTTTATTAAGAAAATTTTAAATACCTTTTTTTGTTATAAAAAACTAATAAAATATATTTTTTCTAAACTTTTACTATTATTTATATTTTATAAAGTTTTTAAATACTTTAACATTTTTGTATATTTTTTTTTAGCCTTTATTATTATGATTTATATTCGATAAAGTTTCTAAAAACTTTTACTTATAACATATTTATATTTTCTTAACTTCCGTTATTTTTATTTTTATATAATAAGGTTTTTTTGTATATTTTTTTAAACTTTAATTAACATTTATATTTTATAAAGTTTTCTAACACGTTTTTTTACTTAAAACTTAACATATATATTTTTAACTTTTATTATTATTTTTTTTATACTTAACTTTTATTATATTTATATAATTTTTCTTAATTTTTATGATTATTATTATATACAACAAAGTCTTAAAATTTTTTTTTCTTAACGTTCATTAATATTATTTACACTTAATAAACTTCTAAAAACTTTTATACTCAAAACTTTTAACATATTTATATATTTTTTCTTAACTTTAATTATTATTATAATAAAAGGTTTACAATATTGTTATTACTTTCAAAAAGGCTAATAATATTTTATTTCCTGCTTTAGGCTTTGTATATATATTTTTTAAAATTTTTTATAATATTTTTTATTCAACTTTAATAAAAATTAATAACGTTATATAAAAATATTTTTTGACTTTATCCTTTTATTGTTTTTCCTATTTTTTATACTTATTTATTAATAATAATATTTTCGTTTTTTTTTCAGAAAAGTTTTAAATGACTTTCATTTATACTTTTTATAATAAATACTAAAGTTTTTTGTATTTTTTATTTAACTGTTTTTGAAGATATTTTATATATAAAAAGTTTAAAGGTTTTATTTTTACGTAAATATATCTAATATTAATACGATAACACTTCTCATATATATTAATATTTTGTATACAAAAAATATTTTTATTTTTTTAAGAATATATATTTTATTAATATACCAAAAATACTTTATTTATTTATAGTAATATTAGTTGGGCAAATAATACTTTTTTATATAATTTTTTAATAAAAAAGTTATTTTTATATTTTTTTATATATATATTAATATTTTATGTATAATATATATTTATTTTTATTTTTATGCTTTCTTATCTGTAAAAAAAATATGTTTTTTTATAAATGTACTTTTTCTTCTACAAAAAATTTCGATATCTATAATTATATATTCTTTTTGTAAAACTTTTTTTTATTTTTTTCTCTAAAATATATATTTTTTATATTTTTGTGAAAATAATTTTTCGTTATTATATAAATATTTATATTCCAAAAGTATTTATATATATTTATTATTATAAAACTTTTTTTTTTATTTTTTTTCCTATAAATATTATATTTAAAAAGAGCTTCTGGCCACGTCGATAAGTTCAGTGACTTTATGGTTCAGGATGGACTCACTAAAGAATATTTCCGGGCGGATCACCTATTAGCCAATAAGATAAGCTCGCTTCTGAATAACAAAAAAAATAGCGAAGCTCAAAAGATGGCGTTGGAAAAGTCGCTTGCTTTGGTGCGTTTTTTTTTATGTAAAGTCTATTTTTATTATTAAAAGACTACTAACTTTTTTTTTTACTTTTTTTTATATAATTTATATAAACTTTATTATTATTGTTAAATGATATAAAATTACTTAACTTTTTTTTATTTTTATATATTTTTATATAAACTTTATTAGTATTAAAAAAATAAGTTTATTAACTTTTGAGATTATATATTATTTTAAAACTTTAGTGTTTTGAAATAATATAAATTTATTAACTTTTTATATATATATAATTTTATAAACTTTATTAAACTTTATTAGAATTAAAATTAATATAAAGTTTCTTTATTTCATTTACGTTTTATAAAAACTTATTAGTATATTAAAAAAAAATATATCAACTAAAAGTTTAATAATTTATATTTTTATGGTTTTTATTATAAGTGTTTAGCATTTTCTAAAATATAAAGTTTGTTATTTATTTTATATATTCTTTTTATAAAACTTTTGTAGTTTTTTTTTTAAAAATAAAATGTGTATTAACTCTTTATTGTTATGTAATTTTATAAATTTTTTTATAATATTTTTAAAAATATAAAATGTATTATCTTTTTAATATTCTATTTTTTTCAAATTTTGTAGTATTTTTAGGAAATGTAAAATGTATTAACTTTTTATTATTATATACTTTTTTGTAAAAAATTTTATAGTACTTTTAAAAAGATATAAAGATGTATTAACTTTTTGTTATGTATTTTATATAAAAGCTTTTTCATATATCTTTTTTATATCAATTTTGACTGTTAATTTCTTTATTATTAAATAATTTTTATAAAAAATGGCAAATATTAAAAAAAAATTAAAAATATATTAACTTTATTATGTTGATAGTTGTCTTTTATAAGTTATATAAATATATATAATAATAATCCTTTTATAGATTTTATTTATTTATTTATTAATTATCATTATTACGTATTCGGGAACTTTTATATGAATACTTTACAGGAAAACTTTTATCTTAATTTAACTTTATTGTTATTGTTATTATTATTATTATATTGTTCTAAAGGTTGACGCCTGGTCCAACGATCCAGTTCTGCTTGAAGAGAAACTTAAAGAATATGAAGTAAAAAGAAAGAAATTTTATATAAAATTTGCTATGAAAAACTTTATTACTAGTAGAAGTTTATTGTTATATATATTTTCTTTATTAGCAAAGTTTTGGATAAAGTTCTATTTTTACTAGTACTATTATTATTATTATTAAAAAAGTTTTTTATACCTAAAGAATATGAATTAAAAGAAAGAATTTATTAACTTGCTAAAAACATTATTTCTATTAAAAAGTTTGTTGTTATTATTATTAGCAAAAAAAGAGTTTTTATTAAGTTATTATTATTCCCATAAAAGACTTAAAAATGCTTTTATTGTTTTAAGGTGAAGTCTCCCGAAACAGGAAACGACTTGTCTCCTCCAATCCCCTTCAACTTAATGTTCCCAACTTTCATCGGCCCAACGGGATTAGCCAAGGGGTATTCCTACATAAAAATACTAATAAAGGAAGATGAAAAATTAGTATAATGAATAATATAAGTTTTTATCGTTGTGAAAACTTCTACAATAATAATAATCATAAAGATATTAAAAAGTAAATGTTTTTTAGTAATATAATAAAGAAACATAATAAAAAGTTATCTTTTGCTTGAATAATTCGCATAATAATAATAATAATAATAATAAAGTAAATTTTTTTGTAAAAACTATTAAATAGATTAAAACAACAATAATAGTAAGAAAAATAATATTTAGTAAACGATATAATAAGGATATAATAATTAAATGAATATGATAATAATAAAAAGTTATCTTCGTCCTGAAACTGCTCAAGGAATATTCGTAAACTTTAAGCGTTTGCTTGAGTATAACCAAAACAAACTCCCTTTTGCTTGCGCTCAAATCGGTATTATTATTATTATTATTATTATTATTATTATTATTATTATTATTATTATTATTATTATTATTATTATTATTATTATTATTATTGTTTAGGAACTTCCTTTCGGAATGAAATAAGCCCCCGTCAAGGTTTACTTCGACTGCGCGAATTTCAGATGGCTGAAGTCGAGCACTTTTTGCACCCAAAAGTCTTCTTTATTCGTTATTTTATTAGTGTATTATAATAATCTGTCTTTCCTTATCTTTTGTATGCATTGAATAAAAAAAGGATAAGTCGCACCCGCGGTTTGCTCAGGTGAGCCACGTGGAGCTCCACCTTCTTCCACGGGAAGCCCAGGAACTTGCCAAAGAGGCGGAGATAAGAACGATTGGCGAGGCCGTCCGCTCGGTGCGTCTCATCCCTTTATCTACCTTCACTGTTGACTGAATTGACCAATAAGGGTATGATTAACAGCGAGACTCTCGGCTACTACATCGCGCGAACTTACTTGTTTCTACTGCGGGCGGGCATCAAGCCGGATAAAGTCCGGTTTCGGCAGCACTTGGCCACTGGTGAGGCTAGAGCCTTAAGTTTATAATAATTGGCTCTCATCTCTTATAATAGAAATGGCCCACTACGCTTGTGACTGTTGGGATGCTGAACTTCTTTTGGCTAGCGGCTGGATCGAGTGCGTTGGTTCGCTTGCCAATCATTAAAAATAATTATATAAAAAAAGATAAAATTCTATAGGCTGTGCTGATCGCTCGGCTTATGACCTCCAGAGGCACTCGGAATTTTCCGATCAACAGCTCATGGCGACCGAGAGACTCGATCAACCACTAAGGCGAGAAGTAATGTTCGTACTACCCAACAAAGCTTTATTGGGTCCTCTTCTCGGGAAGGTTTGAGTCTTGTGGCCCCCATTTTACATGGCATCTCCCGCTTTAAAACTTTACCAGCGCATGACTGCTGTACAGAAATGCCTCGATGAACTTACAGTTGAAAGTAAGATGGCCATGCAGCGGCAGCTTGTGGAACAGGGCACGTTCGTTTTGAGCGTTGCTGGCGAGGAGCTCGAACTTAGGCCCGAAATGGTTTCTTTCAAAACCGAAGAGCAGAACGTTTATGACGGCACGTGCTTTGGTTATCTTTTTATGCTCTTCTTATCAAGTCTCCTTTTAATAGAGCACTTTACGCCACATGTCATCGAACCATCCTTCGGGATCAGCCGACTCGTTTATGCGATTCTCGAGCAAAACTTTTATCTGCGTGACGGGGATGAACCACGTGCTGTTTTATCGTTTCCTCCCGTTATTGCTCCCGTGGCTGTGACCATTTTCCCGCTACTGAATAACAAAGGGTTCGTAGTTTTCATAGAGAAACTTTCTAAAGAATTTAGGCAGGTCATTAATTTTAATAAACTCCGCTCACGCGGATTTATATATTTATATTTATTATTTATAGGCTGAAGTGTTATTCAAGGTTGACGACAGTAATGTGAATATTGGCCGCCGCTACGTCCGGGCAGACGAAACTGGTTGCGCCTTTGGCTGCACTATAGACTTCGACACCCTCAAAGACGATACTGTCACGCTTCGGTATTTTTAGCTATACAAAAATTCACTATTAAAAAGGGAACGTAAATTAATGAAATAGTCAATAGAATTAAGGTTGCGTGCCCCATAAGCAATTACTAAATTAAGTAATAAGCAATGAAAAACCGCCTCCGAGTAGTTCGGGTTGGGCAGGCGTGTTTGGTAATAGTAATAGTAATAATAATAAATATAGTAAAAAAGAGGATATATATGCTCTAACATTCACTACCAACAGCGAACGGGATTCGATGGGACAGGCGCGTCTTCCCATCTCTGACGTCGCTGCAGTCGTAAAGGCGCTGGTCCAGCAAAAATGCACTTGGGAACAACTGATTAAGAAATACGGACTTTTTGTGTTTGCAGGCGATAGCAGATAGCTTATATATACTTGCATATATCAATAAAAAATAAGAGTTACCTTTTATTATGGTTTACTTGCTTTAAAATCTTATAATAATTAGTGAAACTTTAAAAAAAACCTAAGCAGGATTATTTAAAAATATTTTTAATTCTTTTCAAGTCTCGTATATATAACTAAAATTTATTTAATAGTTATTCGAAATTTAATTAAGCTACTATTATAATTTATTCTTGGTTAAAGTTATGTATATATATATAATTTACAGCAGACTGTCTTATGTCAAGAGTTATCACTATTATTCACCACCAACTCTGTATTTTTTTAACGTCGACGTGTAACATTTTACATCCTTCTGTCAAAGCTTGCTTAATTGTAATTGTTACCTTTAAATTTGGTTTGGAAAAATTTAGATAATATGTATAAAATTTACAGTAAAATTCAAAACATGAAAATATAAAAAACAATATAATGCACTGGCCTTACAGTTTTATCCATTACTGTTTGTAAATTTTTAGAAATTTTACTAGATTTCAATATAGTCTTAAAATAAAAGCTTTAAACTTCAGTATTTAGGTTTCGTTTGAAAAAAGTCACACATACTTAATATGATCAATACTAAATCACTGTTTACGGAATTAAAAACTCGAATATATGCGTTTCTAACTAGATTTCTACACCTTATAAGAAGTTAGTCCATATTTAAACGTAGCTATTGTTTACGGTCTTCCTTTAGTTTCCCTTTAACTACTTTTTTGCTTAGTGCAGCCAGCAGTTGTTTCATTACAACTTATTCATAAATATATCTTTAAAAATGATTGTTAAAAGAGGGGAGTTGGTAATAAAATTATATTTTCAAAAATAATTAGTGAAACAAATCGGATCTTTCAGTGCTAATGGGTTTTTTAATTTGTCATAATACTGGTTCAAAGTTAGATTGAACTTTACTTATTTAAGCATAGTAGTTATTAATTTTTTTTTAGTACGGCAGAACAGCAATATTTTTTTGAGATTTAAAAAATTGACTATTCGATAATATTTACAGACCTTAGTGTTTGTGGGCTGAAGTAAGTTTATTTTTTGTAAGATTTCATAAAACATACTTGTGATACTTTCAACGAGCGAACGCATTTAATCTTTTACTGAGGAAACAATATACTCATGATCAAAACTTAATAATACCGGACGTTTTAATTAACGAATATAGGATTTCTTCCCTAAATATAGCTATATGTTTCTTAGCCATCTTAAGACTATAGTTTAACGCAATATACGCAAATATACTAATTTTTAAATACTAACTTTTACAAAAAAAATTTTTTTATCTATCGCTTTTTTTTCCTGTAAGTGCAGCAGACTTACTAAAAATATAAAAATAGTTTTTTAACTTTTTTTTTTAAATTATAAGGCTCTACCTCGAAAGCCTGTGATAGCTATGAAAGCAAACGGGACAAAAGCATAATATAAAAGAGAATATATATGAAACGTTGCCTTTTATTTGGCAAAAGACTAAATTCATACTTGTTGCTTTCTGCTTCAACGTTTTTAACGTGATTTAAAAACCGTTGCATTTAAAAAATGTAGAGAAAAAAAATTAACTGAGTGCTCACTAAAACCAAATTAGGTTAATATTTAATTATAGACATTAAGGATCGTCAATGATTAACGGATCAGGTAAGGTATACAGCGCATATGAGAAAACTTTTATGTTGCTAACAGAGCAATTCCACTCGGTGTATCGTGGTATAATAATTATTTTATTTTTAAAAGGAGATGGTTGTTTGAAAGTTATAAGCTAACATCAAAATAGCATAGTGACTGTCCTAAAGATGTAAGAAACAGAGTGGCTTGTGTACCTCTACTTTTCACTGCGGATTTGCTATTAATACTTTACAGCTTTACATGTGTATTACTGTGCAACAGAAACTTAAATTTTTATTCTGTTTTAGTATATATAATAAGCCTAAAATACTACTTCATATATATTATGTTAATTATCTAACGTATATATACTATTTTTTATTTCATATTATATTACTTCACTTACTTGTATAGTCGCTTAACACGTCTTTTGTTCCTTCTGGTAAAGATCCCGCAGCCTACATCGCCGAGGTACTAGCTTTATAATGAATTTTTTAAAAAAGATATAATATTGCGTTAAACAGTTTAAACGGCCTAGAACATGTTCGTTTTATGTCATCGCGCGTTCACATTTGATAAGAGCACTGTCCAATTTAGCGGTGGTAGCGTAAACGGTGGGAACGCCTTCTCGAGCAACTCGGTGAATTTGTTCTAACGCGTTTAAGATCGGGAGAATGTGCCCATTGCTTCCTTTACGTAGCCCATTTCGAGCAGGGCAGGCAAGTGATCCGACGACAATTCATTTATCTTCTCACTAGCCGTTGTAAGGCATACCTTTTTTTAACACGCGATGTCAACACTTCCATTGTGCCCGTTCTAAGTTATATGCACTTACTCACTACATATATATCTAAAAATTTTACGATTAATAAAGTAAAGAGTTTTCTCTTTTAGTTTTTTTTTTTTGCCTTTATTTGTTCGCTGAATGCTTTATTCCTGCTTGTTTATCATCTACGGCTTAGCAACCCAAAGATGGACAGGTTCGAATTAAAAAAAAACCTCCTAGATATTTGGCTGGTTTAAAGAAAATCATGCAAATAGGTAATTCCAACATGTACTAATTTGAACAAATAAACTCCCGTAACGATCCTTGGACCAAAATTTTATGCATTTAATTTCTTATATAACTTTGAAAATAAGGGACTAATAAGTTTAACCAACTTGTAGAAGGAATTTAAAAGGGATTCCTAGATAGCAGCTTAGTTTAAAAGGAACCAATTTTTATCTTTGTTAACAAAATACCTAAGGAAGTTCTTAGAACATAGGGATTAGAAACAAAATTTAAGAGCTGTGACGACAATATCGGAGTTCGCGGGACCAAAATTCTATAAAAATATTTTTGCAATGCCTTCAACTTCATAAATTTTTATCGTCAATAAAATAATGATAATAAACAAAGTGAGAATAAAATAACTATAAGTGGTTCAAGAATATAACTGTAAACTTCCAACCAAATGCATGTCTATGCCTTTAAATTAAAAAAAATTACTGACTTGGTAAAGATGTTTCTTAGCAGTGAAAGCAGCCAATCATTTATACAGCTTAAAGCGAACAAATAATAATCTGGTGTGACATACCAAAATCACATATTTTATAAATAAATAAAAATTTTTAGTTTACCATTAACCTAACTAAAATACTCCCAAATTTTTGCTTAATTATATCCTTTGTAAATTGTATATAGAGCTCGTTGTTTTCTATAGAAAGGAAGTCACAAACTTATTAACTAAAAGCAGAGTTTCATTTATCATATGGAATAAAAGTTAAAAATGACTTCGATCATAAAGAATAGGTAAATTTAGTTATTTAATTACCCTTGTAGAAGAAACTAAAATGAAAGTTAGTATAACACTCTTCAAGGGCAGTATAAGCTTAAAGCGTACATGCGAGGTAATCTAATAAAACTGTCATTTTTTAGTATTAAAATTTTATGCAGCGCTGAAAATTAATCGTGAGATCTACGCGCACAGGAGTTAAAAAAGCAATCAGTTAAAAAAAAATTGACATTGTGGAAAAAAAAGGTAATTGGGTAGGACATTGTTTTTAGAGTTTATTGGCAAACTATGTCATACATACTTGCATAAAAATTGATAGCATTTATGTTTGCTTTACGTGAGCTAATCTTCAGTGCACTATTAATCCCTGAAGTAAAATACCCCTAATTGCCCTTTACAAGTTCATGACTGAATAAAATATTGTCTATGAGAAGTTGTCTAGCTACAAAATTTTGTCTTCTATTTTATTATAAAGCCTTTAATGTTCATATAAAAATTTATATATTTATGTTAATTAACACAGCATTAAGCAATGAAGGTTATGTACTCCTTTCGTTTTCATATTAAAGCTCATTATGGTTTATTTAACATTTTATTATTTGTTTTATTGGTCAGTACTATACTAATTATTAACACCATTGACCAACTTTACAAACAGCATGCAATCTGTAATTGGTGCAATTTTAAGATGCAACCTTACAATTGGTAAATTTGCGAAAGTTGCGATTAATATAATGAAATCAAAACAATGTATGAGCCCCTAAAAAAGTTAAAGTATAAAATTATCACTTTCGCACAAGTAGGAACTTCAAAATCTCATCTATGAACTACACTTAAATTAGGCAACTCGCTATTATCAGTCCGGCATTATTTTACTTATTATATAATTGTTCTTTTGCTCTTAAGCTAATTTATAACAAAGTCCATCTGGCTATGGACGTAAAAAACACAAAAAGAGTTTTTCTTGGATTTGATATGGGCGGTACGTTAGCTAAATTGGTTTACGCAGAAAAAGACACTGTTTTTTGTAAAGAAAGCTTGGACATTCTGAACTTTATACTTTCTACTTCTCAGTAAAAATTTATGTTCTTTGTGCGTCTTGTTGGATCCTTTACTATTTTTTTTTATTGTTATCATTTCGTTTTGACTATCATGTGTTTTATTATATATGCCTTTCGCGTTGTCTTTAACTTAATATATTTAGTTATGGATCCTCAGGAATACGCGATTCTCATTTGGAGGTTAGTATTCCAGAACTAGGGAAGGTTTATTTTATCCGTTTTGCCAGTAATAGGTAATTATTTTTTTTTGGTTATATTTTCATTAGAAACTTATTAAATATTTATTACTAACAGGATTTCAGGCGCAATCGATTTGATTAAAAAGAAGAATCTTCACATTGTTTAGTCATTTTTTATTCCATATTCTGTTAACATAAAAAATCTTTATTTTGAAGCATTTATTGAAGCTGAAATGAAGTTATATTTTTTTTAACTTGCAATATTTGCTCTTGCTTGCCAGGGAATTGAAATTCTTTACGCTGTTGGTGGCGGCACTCATAAGTATAAAGCACTGTTTGAGAAAGAATTGGGTGTAAAGTATAATCTCCAATTTTCTTTTAATTGTTGATTTTTTACTTTTTATTACAAAATTTTTAAAGTTTTTTTTTTAATTTTAATTTCTCTTTTATTTCATATTGTTATTTTGTATTCATCAAAGAATTGTGCATTTGGACGAACTTGGATCTATCGTGAAAGGCATGGTATATTTATTACAGCACGTCGAAGATGAGTGCTATACAATTGAAAACGTCGCAAATGAAGATGGCTCCACAATAAAAGTATTATTTTTAAATATTTACGTTTATATAATTTATGTAAATTTTAAACTTTATAACAAAATTCACTTTTTCAAGGAGATTTTTTAGACTTAAATATATTTTTGTTTAGATTAATAAAAATTTCGGGACGGATAACGATCTCTTCCCTTTTTTGGTTGTAAATATTGGGACGGGCGTAAGTATATTAAAAGTCACAAAAGCGAACGATATAGAAAGAATTAGCGGGACGGCTTTAGGCGGCGGTACATTTTTAGGTAAAAACTTTTATATGATTTTTCTGTCGCCAATTATATATTTTTTTAAATTCCTACGTAACAAGTTTTTTTTCTTTATTTTAAATTTTGGAATTTTATGAATTTATTACTTGCCAAAGGTCTTTGTAGACTTCTGACAAACTCAAAAAAGTTTGATGAAGCTTTGGATTTAGTAAATTTTTTTTTGAATTAATCTGTTTATAAATATTTTTAAGAAAAAATATTAATACCTTTTTATAAAAGCTTTAACAAGCCGGGGAAATTTCGTAATTAGTTATTTGTTATAATGAGTTTTTTGATTTAATTAATATATGTCTTTCTAGATTTTTTAAAAAAAGTTAATAAATTTATGTAAAAAATATTAATTTATTTTATTGTAAAAAGTTATGAATATTCTAATTGGTAAGATTGCTTTAGTTTAAATAAGTTTAGCTTTATCATTGAAATATATATTTTGGTGTTATTTATAAATCATTTATCATTAATTAAATCTTCCTAACTTAATTTCTAAAATAATAAATTTTTTTCATAAATTTTCTAAAAAGTATAAGCTTTTTAATTTAAATTTACAGAAGAATTTTATTTAGAGAATTTTATAACTTTAGTTATATGAGTATTTTCTAGTATTAAGTTATACTAACTTTACTGATCCATAGTTAAATATATATAAATCTTAGTTTAGTATCCGCTGAGTAACTTTGTTATTTTAATATTTGATTAAAAATATTTTGCAAGTAATATCCATTTCTCTTTCTCTCCTTTAAGGCTGCAACAGGCGATGCTAACAGCGTTAATATGCTTGTCAAAGATATTTATAGCGGAGAATGCAAAGGATTGGGAAGCGATATTAAACGTATATAAGCTAATTAGAAACTAATTTTAGTTCACTAAATTTTGTGCAGATTTTAATCTTTCTGGTGATTTGACCGCCAGTTTTTTTGCAAAAAATATAATGATAAGCAACCCCAACGAAAATATAAGAAAAGTATAAAATTTTATCCATTTTATAAAGAAATTCTATAATCGTTTTAACAATTATGTAATATTCTTTCATAAAATGAATTTTTTAATTTAAAATTTTACTTTAATGTTAAATTATATATTTTTTGACAGTAGTATTTTAGTTTAATAAGTGAAGATTACAAATTCAATGAGAATTTAAAAAAGTATAAATAACTTTTTTATTAATAAGTTTTTTATAGACTTTTCATATTCTCTTTAAAATAAAAATTTTTCTCTAAATTTTTTTATTTTTATTTTTTAATTAACCCCTCTAAAATAATTGCACATATTATAATGAATAGTAACCCAACAAATATTTTTAAAAGAAGTATATATATATTTTTTTAAATTAATTTGTTTGTTTATTGTAATTTAATAGTATAACTTTAAACTTTTGCCACTAAGTTATTTATTTTAAAGAATCTATTGTATATTTTGTGTTTTTAATGAATATAGTTAGTATTATATTTTAAACTTTTGCCATTTAATTTATAATTGGAAAAATTTTATTATTTTACTATTTTATAAACTTTTATAATTAATTAAACAAGAAAGTGTCAGACAGCGATATTTCAAGGGCGTTATGTATAATGATTGCTCAGAATGTAACGCAAATCGCTCTTTTAAATGCAAAGTAAGCTTATTTTCTTTTCTCAATCCTTTTTTCTAATTTAAAATTAAAAAGCCTAGCTATGCTTAAAAGCTTAGTATTTCTTTTAACTTTATTTGTTCTTTATATTTAATAAGAATAATTTTTTATAGTTTCATACAAAAAATTATTATATTACTTTTATTGAAAAAGAATGTACTTTAAAAAAAAAAAATTGCGCGATTAAATTTTTTTAACAAAATTATTTTTTTAGTTAAATTATTTTGAAATTTGTATAACAAATAAATACTTTTTTTATTCCAAATGAAAGCAGTTTTCACATAATCAAGCCTTTAATTTTTTTTTTTCCAATTTTATTGTAATAATATTAACTATTTTTCTAATGCGAGCTTGAGTTTTTACATTTTTCATAAATATTATAAATTTATAAACATATATTTTAGGCTCCATAACGTTTTTAAAGTTTTTTTTACTGGAAATTTTCTTAGACATAATCCCATCGCTTCGAGGTATTACTTAAAATTATAAGAATTTGTAAAAAATATAACAATTACTTAACTTTTAAGTTTTTTCAAAAGAGAATAAAGTATAAGAAAAAAGGATATAAAAATAAGTAATTTTTGTACTCAAAATAAAAATAAACATAAAGTTAAAATATTTATTTATATTAAAAATCTACACTTTAGAACGATTGTTCAAAACATGAGACGATGGTCGGAGCTTGGTAATCTTAACATTGAAATATTATTTTTCAGAAGAGAAGGTTATCTTGGTGCCTTCGGAGCCTTAATTCAAGGAATTGAACGCTTGAAATAAGAGAAAAAGAAGTTTAAAAAAATAAACTACAAACATGTTTAAATATAATTTTTTGTTATAAATACTTTTGAAAAGTTTTATAATACTTTGAAGATAATATATAAATAAATTTGTAATTTTCTTAAAGTTAAAGTGATCATTATGGCAATAAAGTTTCGTAATATATTCACTTTATAAGGTGCTTTGCTGTATAACAAAATAAGTTATAAAGAAATTATTTAATAGAATGAACAACTATTAAGAGAAGTTAAAAAAAAGTTATAGGCATAATACTAATTGAAAATGTTTACTGTTAAAGTACATTCATAATATTTTTCTAAGCAAAGAATCATATTCTTTTACAAGGCGTTTAAGAATCTTTCTCATTATACTGGGATATACGTTATGAATAATTATATTTTGGTTACTTTTTAAGAAATCAATGTTTTCAAAGCGTATTAACGGTGCTCTTTTCTGTTTTTATACGAAGATATATATTTGCTCAGAAAAGGTGGGCGCCCCAACCAAAGGTAACAAGTTATATACAATAAAGCCATCCCACAAGAATGAAAAGCTGTCGTAGCACATCGGTGAGGAGCATCGAAGCGCAAACTCAAGATCATGAGTTCGACTTTAAACCGATGCAACTTACCTTGCCCTCAAGAGTTTTAATAGAAAGCATTTCATCCCGCCCGAGCTGAGTAGTCAAATCTATAGGAACCTAATTAATACTGCGGTGGGTGACCACGGATGCTACCACGTACTGCATTCTCCCCTTAGAGAATCCTGATATAAAAAATTACTCCTAAGAGCTCGAGTATTCGAAGTTGTTAACACGATCGAGTACCAGAAAAAGTTCTCCATAATAAATAAGCATATTTAGCCTTTATTCGGCCTCCTTTCGTTATACAAAGAATAGTTAATAACTTTTTAGAAAGCAATCACTACTCTTTTATAATTACTTACAGATGTATTCCTATTGCTTAAAAATAAAGCTTTATTGTTCTCCATCCATAACTTAAAAAGTTTTCGTTGATAGTTTATATTTTAATTTCTATTTCAGAGAGCAATAATATTTTTTTTAAAACCGTATAACGATGCACTTTTCTATTTACCTTAGAGTGAACTATTTGTTTAAAAAATTAAAGGCTTTCCTGGTTTCTCTTTTCATGTGCGTTATTTTTTTGAAAACGTGAATCTATAGATTGCTTTACTGACACCAGCTTTAGTAATAAAAGTTCCTCCAGAATATAAATATTTAATAGTTATATCATACGAGAGGAGATTTATGTTTTCGAAGAGTATTGAAAAATATTTATAGTTAGTATTGCAAAAACAGAAATCGCCTTTACTATTATAATAGCACGTACATATATATACTCTCAACTGATTGGGTTTTGCTGTAACTTTTTTTAAATTATTTGGCTAGTATATATTCGTCTTAAAAAAAGCTTAGTTGTAGTTATAACAATAATGAACTCATAGATTTTAAAGGTTTTATGAGCGTTATAATAATTTCTTTTATCCGAATACTTTTCAAGGCAGTGGTAAACATAAAATTAACCTTTATAACATACAATATGTAAACAGCTTATCTCGAGCCCTTCAATAATGATTTGTTAATATGGATAATTTAATTTTTTTGGGAAAATTCTTGCTAAAAAACAGGCCAGCATTCAAACTGTACAACTTAAAAATTTCTGTTCACAAATGCTTTTGCTTAGCCCAAAAAGGCTTAAGTGTATGTGTATAACGGGTTGGGATGACCGGCACGCGTTGAAGTTAGTTTCTATATATTTTTTTCTGCTATGAGCTCGCCTTCGAAACCTGTTACTAATATAGTACCTACTCCGGACCTTAGCCACTTAAATAAAAAAAACTACCAAAACTTGTATGAGCCTGCAGAAGACACGTTTTTGTTCTTGGATGCTTTAGAGAAAGATTCTCTTTTCTTAGAAAGATTAAAACCCTCTTTGTGTGTGGAAATGGGCGTCGGCTCTGGAACTGTTTTAACTTTTCTTTCGTTTCTTCTTAATGAATTAAATGTTCAAAGTTTTCTTCTGGGAGTGGATATAAACATCGAAGCTGTTCACGCTGCGAAAAATACTTCTATTGTTAATCATCAATTTGACTACGCGGATTTTATTAATACCGATCTTTTCTCTAGTTTGAATCTTTTTGCAAAAGTGGACTTACTTTTATTTAACCCACCTTATGTTGTTACACCTTCAGAGGAAGTGAATTCAAGCAAGTTATCCGCTGCTTGGGCAGGTGTATAGCAAATAATAGAATTCACTTTAGGGACTTCGCTTTCTTTTTACTGTTTATAGGAGGAGAATATGGTAGAGAAGTTATCGATCGGTTATTAAAAGTTATTGGCGAGTATTTATCTTCTGACGGAGTTTTCTATCTTCTAGTAAGCTCCGAAAATAATCCTGATGAAATTAAAATCCTTATGAAAGAAAAAGGTTCATTTACTCTCTCTGTAAACTTAAAATATAAAATTTTTCACATTTCTTATTGAGTTGCAATTGTATATAAAAAAATTATACTTGTTTGTTATTATGTTGAAAGTAATATTATTTTTTATAATATATAAGCAGGTTTTCCAGCTTGTAAGGAAGTAATTAAAAGAAAATGCCGTAACGAATGTTTAAGTGTTTTAAGATTCTCGAGAATTTAATCATATTAATTACGTTTGTCTTTAGTTTATTTTTTTAATTAACAATACTTATTGGTTATTGTTGCTTCCTAAGTTTTTAATTGTTTATTAATTTGCAACTATAATAATTTCTATTATAAAACAAGACAAATAGTTCTCCTGTGGATAAGGGCTTCTATATTCATAAAGGTTATAATAATAAAAAAATCCTTTAGTATTTAAATTATTTTTTGATCTTAAGATGTGTTTATTGAAGTTGGGAGCATATAACTACAGTCTTTTTTAATCATGGCTTTATACCAAATTAACGTTATTTAATCTTATAACAATTGATTCGAGCCTCATTTCAATTTTACTAAAACTTTATTGACTTGAAAAGATAAATAAGACTAATAACATATTACTTTCAGCGGAATCTTTTAGTGCGCCTTCACATACAAAGTTTGATCTATACAATTTATAGAAAAAAGTAGCGCAGTCTTTAATCAATGATTTAAAGGTGTTATGCACACACCAAAATTATTTTAATAGAAAAGAACTTTTGATATGTAAAGGGATATTTTACTAAGTTTAGCTTCTGTTGGGTGTTAATAAGTTGTACAGAATATTTTTAAAAGAGTTTAACTGCAACTGACTGGATCCATTTTAAAAAAATAATAAATCTATAAGTATTTTAGCAGAATAATTCATGGGGAAGTCCAAACTGATTACTGAGACACTAATAATTAAGGCAAGTGTTTGTGCTTTATTTCAGTGTTTTTTCTGAATGAATCGTTCTTGTTATCTTGTAAAAAATTTTCTTTTTTTATTAATTAAGAGCCTATTAAAGAGCTTTAAAACAAGTAAAAAATAAAATAGTAATGTCGAAAAACATAGAGGAACACAAAATTTAGCTTCTTACTATTTGCTTTTTAAAATTAACTGATAGGGAAAGTTATGGATAATTTAATACTTTAATCGCATTTACGAGCAATTAAGACCGACTTAAAGAAAGTAAAATAGTTAATCCTTTTTTTACATAAAAATAGAAGTAGGACTTAGTTTTTAACTTATATTGAATAATAAAATTACACTATATTTGAAATAAAAGAGCATTTGAATTATTCAAGCCCGTGCCTTATAGTATTTCTGTTGTAAGAAAAGCTGCCTGAGCTTTGGACGAGAAAGACAACTAATATTTAATAAGCGAGCAGCGATTATTATGCAGTCGGCTAGCATTCCAACTTATTCTTTACGCTTAACGAACTAAAATTTAATTAATGTAATTCAAATTTTAATTCAAGGAATTAAAAAGTTGACTTTATGTTTGTTAACTAACAGAACACTTCACAGTAGTAATAACTAGTAATATAATAAAGAATACCAATTTTTTTTCTTGATTATATATCTAAGAGGTGCTAGCGTGCTTTTAACTTACATTTCTCACAACTATCTTGCATATCACATACGCTTTAAGACTACTATTTTAGGAACAAATAAAAAAGTTAAATCTATTATAGTTCGCTTAAACCTCTCTCATCAATTTTCATTGATACAAAAAAAAATTTCTACAAAACGTTTAAATAAAACTACCGCCATAGAGGATAAAATCTTATCTTACCTTATCTCTTGCACTTTCTGAAGACTCAATAGGAATTAAAAAAAGAGTTGTAAATATATAATCTGTGTAAATCCTTAGCTTTTCTATAGCAACCACAAGACGCCCACTAAAAAACACTCTCCTTAAAATATATATTTTGTACGTAAAAATATTATTTTCAAAAAGACAAAAAGAATTGGCATATTTCATTAAACTTATTTAATGGTGCTCCACTTGTTTAAATATCTAAAGTTTACAAGGACAATATATATCATGAAAAATATAATCCACGAAATAACGCTTTCTAATTCAATAAAACAAACCCGAGGATTTATTGGATTCAAACTCAAACTTTAGTAAAATTTTACATTATTAACGGGCTGAGCATGATAAGTGGACGTTGCCTCTTGAAACTAAATCCATATTTGCTATAAACACACAAGGTTTTACCATAATATTACTACAATCCAGCTGACAATTTTACAAAAAAAAAAACTTTATTAATACAAAAGTACACAAAAATATTATATTTTTATTTATTGCACGTATGCTACAGTAAAGTAATTTGAACTGCTCTATGCCAAGAAGCTGCTTTAGAAGGCCTTTTATAAAAAGAATTTAGCTTTCCCGAAAATTTTTTTTTTAAAAAAAATAAGTGATAATATTTAACCGACCTTGCTACATCACAACTACATAACAACTATTAATATTACTATTACTATTATAATAATAATAATTATACGAATGAGTTATGCTTTAAAATAATCTCAATTACAGTTATTACAGTATAACATAAGAATATTATTCTCAAAATTAATTCCGCTCTAGTAGACAATAAAAAACCAATTTACTATACTGAAGATAATAAAATAGCTTGACTATAAAATTAATAAGTATCAATAAAAATATATACAATTTCAAAGATAATAAATATATAATCCGTGCAACTCCTCGACAACATTTCATGCTGTTTATTAATTTATTTACTAGAAGTATGCAATTTTACTTACAGTCACTATACAGACTTCCTAGTTGTGCGTAAATATTATTTCGTACCTTTATAATAAAATTCATTAGTCTGTAGGCACGGTGGAGCATTTTTAGTAAAGCTACATTTTTATTTTCCGCCTTGTATAACCCGCAGGCGTAAAAATGCTTACAGTCATACAAGTATTTAGGTTTGGTAAGAGTTTCAATACCTTTTGTAAAGGTTTTTTTACTATAAAACATTCCACGTTTACTTATAAATTTTAAAAAGTTTCAGCTTTTCACTGTATTCTTAAAAACAATAATATTCACTAAAAATTTAAAGTTAAAATTTTTTTATCATGAAAAGGAAGCAATAAGGATTTGTATATAACAAATAAAAGTTATTTATATTATTTCTCAACTATACTAATTTTTTTAAATATATTTTATGGGTAGTTAAATTAATTTAAGTACTTTGAATTATAAAAATATTGTTATAGTTTAAAATAAATTTATTAAACATTTTAAAATTTTTCAAGCATCAAGAAGATCCTTCTGTATTTTCTTCGTCATTTTCCACGGAATCTTCAAATTTGTCCCAAATGGCACGAACTTCGGGTGAAATATAATCAAACCGAAAGATGAAAGACTTTTCTGTGGCACATAAAATCTGACTGATTTGCAATTTTTTTAAAAAATTATATCAAAAAAAAAGCAAAAGAATTGAAAAATTGTAAAGAAATATTATTTATACTTTTTTTAATAAATGACTAAAAAAAATTCTCTTGTTGCTTTAACAAAGTTTACAATTTAAATAGGTTGCAGTAATTTTAATTAAATTTTTTAATTTTTGAAAATTTTTGTTAAGCGTATTAAAAAAAAATAAAAGTTCTGCTATTTCACTTTTATTTTACTAACACTTTTATAGCCATTTCTATAAAATAATAAAACCGAGATTACACACTTCGAGCTGAACAATAATAATAAGTATAATATATCTGACTTTTACAACTAAAATTGGAAAAAGCAATAAATTTTTTATTTATTTATTTATTAAAAATTTAAAAATAAAGATTTTTACTTTTATTAATTTTATTAAAATTTTTAAAAGCGATTTATAAATTTTTTAACCAAAAAGTAGGAAAATAAATTTTTATAAAAAAAGTTAAATCAAAAAAGTCAAGATTATTCCAATAAAAAAAGATTCCAATATTTGTTTTACTTCGATTGATTGGTAAAAGCGCACGTGGTTATTCGCATTTTCTTTACTTTTGGGTGCTTCAGTTTACTAATTAACTTTCCTTGAACATCATAAACAAGCACTTTTCCGTCTTCATCGCCGAAACAAAAAAAAGTTCCTTCAAAGCTGACGAAATTCAAAGTAAAAAGTTTTCAAAAATAATAAATTCTAAAATAAATATATAACAAAAATAATATCTATTTTTTAATAAACTTCAATATTTATACGTATTTTTATATTTATAATAACTACATAAAAAAGATATATTTTTAACTTCAATCTTTATACATTTTCTGTTAATAAAAATCAAATTATAATAATAATAATGAAATAATAATTATTTATTTTTAAAAATTTTAATAGTTATAAATATTTTTTTATATAAAAAAATGAATAGAAGTATAAATGAAATAGAAAATCTTTCTAAAAAAAAATGCAATCTTCATATATATATATATATATATACTCAGTAATAAAAAACATAGTACTATGATAAAAAAAAATTTACATGTAAACAAATATATATAAACAAAATGAAACGGTGCATTTTTTAGAAGAAACCACAATCTTTATATATTTTATTAGTATTAAAAATAATAATTCTACAAAATTTTTTTATTAAACTTTAATAATATATTTATAGATTTCTTTATATAGAAAAAATATATATAAATATAAATAAAATAAGATAAACCTTAATCATTATATATTTTTTTTTATTAAAATTATTAATAACATAAAATAATTTTTTTTTAATAAATTTAATTTTATATGTTTTTTATTAATAAAAATAAATTGTAGTAATATATATTATACATACAAAAATAAAAAATATTATGAATTAACTTCAATCTTTATGTATTTATTAAAATAAAAGTAAATAATAATATAAAAAAAATACTTTAACTAAATAAATTTTAGTGTTATAAAAAATTTCATATACATAATAATAAATAAAAATAAAAAAAAAATTCTTAATAAACTTTAGTCTTTTATGTTTTTTAATAAAAAAATAATAAATAATAGAATATAAATAAGTATTAATATGTATAAATTTTTTTATAAATAAAAATAAAAAAAAAAAAAGAAAGTTAAAAAAAAAACTTGACTTCCAAAGGAGAAAGAGTTTCGGCTACAAACGAAGTCATGCGCGGCTTGATAAGAACTTTTATAAGCTTTTTTGTAGTATTTATAAAATAATTTTTTTTTTTAGTAAACAGTTTTTCAGAATACTACTTTTTTTCAAAAATATTAAAATACAGTAAAAGCGTAAACAAACAATATATATAAATACTTAAAAAACTAATATATTAAAACAATTCCAAAAAAAAAAAGATTACTATTTATAAAATAAAGATTTAAACAATCATAATGATAATATTTGTTTAAACCTCCTTTAATAATATTTATTATAACCATAAAATTTTATATAATATTTTATAAAACAAAAATATTCATAAATGCATGTTCCTTATAAAATTTATATTATAAAATATTTTTTTAATTCAATAAAAAAGTTTATCACTAACATTTTATATTTATAAATTTTATTGAATACATTTTTTTTAAATTTTATATATAAAATTTTTCATAGTATCATATTTTTATAGTAATAATAATGATAAATCAAAAAAAGTAACTTCATCCTTAAAGCAATCCCACAATAGAACTTCACCATCAACAGATTTTGATATAATATAGCCAGTCGAAAGTTGCTTAATAGAATCTTTTATTCAAACTTTTAATTATTTATACTTTATTATATTTATAAATAATAATATTTATTTATTATTATTAACAATAATTAATTATTTATCTTTTTTTAAATTTTTGAAAGTATTTTTTTTAAATATTTATAATATAAAATTTTATTATATTTCTTTTTTAATAATAAAAACTTTTTTTTATTTATATGTTATTATATTCATAAAAATTATTTTTACTATATTTCATTATTTACCAAAAAAAACTTTTACTATTTATAATTTATTAAACTTTTATTATTTTATTAACAAATCTTTTAGTGTTTTTATTTCTTCATATAATTTTATTTTATTATTATTATAATATTTTTATTAATAATATAAACTTTTATTATATAAATTCTGTTAACCTTTAAAACATTTTTTCTATTTAATTATTAATATCTACAATAGAAACTTTTTTTTGTTTATATTATAAGAATGTTTGTTATATTTATATATTTCATTAGCGTATTTATTATTATTATTAAAAACAAAAACTATTATATTATTTTTTTAATTTTTTACTAATTTAACATTTTTATTTCAGTATTTATATATATATATATATAATTATAAAAAGTTGTAAAAAAATCCTTCTTTTATTCTACCAATAGACTTCCTATGTTTTCTTTTCAACAGTTTTTCCGTTATTCCATTGGAGACTTCATAAAAATGGCCGTCTTCGCAGCCAATCAATAAATCCCAGTTCCCTTTGCACGTGTTATTGCTGATAATAAATTCCTGAAGTTTTAAATATGTATATTTTTTTAAAATAAAATAATAAAAAGTTTAATAGTAACTTTAAAGTAAAAATAATTATTAACATGTTTTTTTTTATTTCTTTATTAAAATATTATTTATTAAATTCTTAAAAAAATTATATAAAAAGTTGATAAAAAAACTCTTCAAAATAATGAAGTTTCCAAATAATTAATTTTTACATATAATATTATTTTTATTTCTTAAATATTTTTTTATAAAAAATTTTGATTAAAATATTAATATATAATAATTATTTTATAAACTCAAATAAAATTATAAAATTATATTTTTTATAAAATTTAATAATATATAAATTTTCCTTTTATAATCAACTCTTCCGTATAAAAAAATTTATAATATAAATATTATAAATATATTAATGATATTTTCACTTTCCAAATAATTTTTTCTAGATATAATTTTTTAGTTATAAATTCAATATAATATTATTTTATTATTTTAAAATTATTACAACTCAAATAAAAAAGTTTATTAAAATAATTTAAAAATAGAAGTATTAAGATTATAGATATTATATATATAAATAATTGTTTAGAAATATCCTTATATATAAAATTGCTCAATTTTTTAGTAATTTTTTTAATATAATTTTTTTCATTTCCTTAACATATTATTATTAAATATTTTTTTTTCATTTTTTTTAAATAATTTTCTTTAGTACTTTTATTAATATAATGTTTTTTATTTTTCTAATAAATTTTTTCTAATATTTCTTTATTTAAAATTTTATTAGTTTATTATTTCATATTAAATTTTATTAATAACCCACAAATTATAAAAAAAATTTATATTTTCTAGTAAAATTATCAGAATTTTTACTAAAAGTTATCATGTTTTATAAATTATTATATAAAATATTATAAACATACGCATTAGATTTCTATTTTTTTAAAATTTATTAATAAAAATTTATTCTCATATAAACTTTATTAAAAAAATTAAAAAAATTATTGTTTAATAGAATTTTCATAATATATAATATTATAAAATATTTTATTATTTTTATTAAAATTTCAAAAGTTTATAGAATTTTAAAAATAATAGAAATATATTTATAAATTTTATTATATTACTATTTTATTCATTTATGATAATAGTCAAGAAATAAGTGTTCAATAGTAACTTTCGTGAATATAAAAATATAAATAAAAATAAAAAGATAATTATATTATTAAAAAATACGAAAGTTTTATATAAAAAAAATATCTACTAATTTTTTTTAATATAATTTAATTATAAAAATTCACAATTTTATTATTTAATCACTAAATATATAATAAATATACACTTTTTATAAAAAAAAATATAAATTTCCTATACAGCAGTAGTCGGTTGGTGGAATTTATGAGAAGATTGCAACGTCACAGAGTCACGTGCCCAAAGGCGCCACACGCGGGCCATTCCTGCCATTCTCATTGGTAAAGTCTTTATTATTGTGATTTAAAAAATGTTTTTATATATTTTCTACTTTTTGTCAAACGTTAAACTTTGGTTGCAGGAAAAAAAACTTAACTCGAACTATATTAATATAATAATAATAAAAGTTAAAAAAAACACATTTATAAACTTTTTCAAATCTTTAATAAAAGTTATATTTATGCTTCAAATTTATTTTTCTTATTACTTTTTATAAAATATATAAATCATAAATAATAATTATTATTATTATAAAGCTGAATATAATAATAATTAATTAATTAAGTTATAAAGTACTAAATGTTTTAAAAAAATACAATAAATAAATAAATGAATTATTCTTATAATATTACTATTAAAAAAATTATGTTAACTTTATAACAAGTTTAAAAAAAAAGTTTTATTATATTTAAAAATAATAATTACTATAAAATTTTACTTTAAAATATTATTTAATTGATTTTTAATAATAAAAAACCTGAAGATTGACTTAAAGAACAAAAAACTCCGCACTTTTGCGAGGCGGCGGAGAGAAACGTCACGGCCTCCTCTATAAAGTTTATTTTTTGTTATCAAAAAAATAAATTTATAATAAAATTCGATAAAAAAAATTTTTTTTAAAATTTTTTATTATTATTTTTTATACATAAAGTATTATTATAAAGTATATATAAAAAAAATAATAATTAAAAAAATATATAAGTAAACATATAAAATTATATTTAATCAGTAGTATGTAAAAAAAGGGGAAAAAAGTGGATTACATTATAATAATAATAGAGAAAAACTAAATTTTTTAATAAAATTTATACTAAATGTTTTTTTTAAAGTTTTTACAAAAATAAGGGAAATTTATATTTAAATTTTGTTTTACGTGTAAAGAAATAGTAAACTGAAATAATAAAAAACAATAATTTGCTATAGAACAAATATTTCATTAAAAATATGACCTCATTAATATAAAAATCGATACTTTTTATAAAGTAAAATTAAATAAATATAAATAAATATAAATTTAGACAATAACAATTTTTTTTCTATAAACTTTTGATCTAATTTTTTTACTTTAATATATTAATTTTTTTAAAACTTTTAAACAAATTAAAATTTTTTATACAAAAATTTCAGCAACTTTGGTAAAATTTATAATTTTATATAATAAATTTTTACTATTTTCATTATTTAGTTTATAAATTTCAGAAGACAACGCCACAGAGACTAAATGAATTGTTCCATGTCGGCCTAAAGGGTAGCAAAAGTAAAACAAAAAATATTAACCATTTTAAAATAAAAAAAACTTATTTATATATTAAAGAATTTTTAAGTATAAAAATAATTTTATAAAATTATATTAAAATTTATAATAATTAACAAAAATAGTAAAAATTTTCTAATCAATTTTAAAAAAATTAATTACTTTTCATAACTTCTGAGTAAAAATATAAAATAAAAGATGAAAAAATTAAAAAAATATTTTTCTAATTAAAAAAATTAATTCTTTTTTTTTTTTAAAATTTCAAGTATAACAAGATTAATTAAAAAAAAAATTTATAATTTTCTAATTGAATTAATATAATAAAATTGCATTTCAAAAGGTTTTAGATTAAAATATAAATTTAAAAAAATTATAAAAATTAATAAAATAATACAATAATGATTTAGTGTTAACAATTAAGTAATAAGTAAATAATAAAAAATTGAAAATTAAAAATATTTTTTTTAAATTTTAAGTATAAAAATTATTTTAAAGATTTAAAAAATTTAATAAAAACAAAATAAAATTGAACTAAAAATTATAATATTAAATAAAATTACTAAAAATTTTCTAATTAAATTAAAAAAATGATTACAATTGGAAAAGTTTGGAGTAAAGTATAAATTTAAAAGATTATAAAGTTATAAATAAAAGCTTTAATAATATAATATTAAAGAAATAAAATATTCTAACACTTTCTTATTAAAAAAAATTAATTAATTATAAAATTTTATGGAAAAATTAATTTCAGAGATTTTAAAAATTTATAAGATAAAATAAAAAAAAATTAATTAAATAATTGGAGAATAAAAATTCATATAAATATTTATATATAATTTAAATAATATTAGAAAAAATTTTAAGTAAAAAGGAGTTCTAAATTAAGAGAGATTAAAATTTTTAAATTTCGTGAAGGTTTTTTTTAAAATAAAGAGTTGAAATAAAAATATAAATCCATTAAAAAGTTTTATAAAAAGCGTAAAAAGTAAATATTTTTTATAAAAACTAAAAAATAATAATTTATAATAAATTAATTAAAAAAATAAAAACCGCCAAAAGCAAGAATGCAGTCCTCGAAATCTACAGACAGCCAAGCGCAAGAGTAGATTGGCTAATAAAAATTAACAATTTCAAAATATTTAAAATTGTTTATAAATTAATTAAAACGAAAAATTTTAAAATTAGTCAAAAATCTAATTTTTTAATATTTGTAGTAAAAAATATAAATTTACATTCTAACTTTTTTATAAACATGTTAGTTTTTTAAATTTTTTATATGATTTATATATTGTAGATGTGCAGTAAATATTATTATTTTATTTGGAAAACTTTATTACTATAATGTTTTTTTAGTTTTTAAAAAAAAAACATTTTGTTAAAAATTTAATTTCTAAATAATAATTTGTAAAAAATTTGTTAAATTACTTGTAAAACTTAATAATAAATTTAATTAGTTTAAAGAGTTTTGTTATATAATCTAAATTTTAAATCAAGATTATGTGGTAAATTTTTTATAATACTTGTGTAACTTGATTAATAAATTATATAATTTTAAAAAGCTTTATTTAAAAATTATATATAAATTAAAATTATGTAGTGATATATTGTAAATTACTTATTGAACTTTATTGTTAAAATAAAAATTACTCAAAGATAATAGTATTTATTTATCGAAATTATTATAAAATAGTTTAATGCAAAAAATATTTTCCTAAAATTTACTCAACTATCAAAATTAATTTTAAAGAAAATTTCTTATAATAATTTTAATATTTAAATAAATATAAAAATATATTATATTAGCAAAATTGCTAAATATTTTTCTTAAGTCATTACAAAATATAACTTTTTTTTTTAAATTTTAATTTTATGTAAAAATTAAAATCAAGATTCATATAACAATGTTTTAACTTTTCAATTAACTTATTAATTTAATATATAACTTGATAAATTATTTTTTTATTACATTTTAAAATTAATTAAAATTAGTTACGTTTCGAAGACTTTCTTCCCTTACTAAGTCAGCATTTTGATTGGAAGAAAATCCATTCCAGTGAAGCATTATATCAATATGACTACTTTCGTCGTTGCTCTGATCATAAACATTTGGCACACTTTCATTATCGTAAATGTTGATCTTCCGTCGAAACGGAAATTATAAAATTAGAGAAAAGATTTAATTAAATAATTTTTTTTCAGAAAAATAAAAAATACTTATAAATACCAAAAAGTACAAAATTAAAGAGAGAAAGAATATTATTAAAATACAAATTAGAAAATACTTATTTTTTCTAATAAATCTACTTAACCGAGGAAAGATAAATTATGATATAAATATAATAGCTGGAAAATTATAAACTTATAAACTACTTCAACTTAAGTGTAACTGATAGTATGTTCTGATAAAAATGTAATTGTCCTCTAAATGAAAGTTAACAAAAATTTTATTTTTAAATGTAACTTAATTATCACATAAATAGGAGAGTGGAATATGTTTTTCAGTATAATTATAGAAAAAGAAAGAGACGACTAATAAATAAAAAATTGAAAAAAGCGCAAAGACTGTAAAGTTTTAGAAAACTAAAAAATTAAAGCTACCTGGCCTCCTCCACAAGTCGCAAAAATGCCAGGATGGTCTCTATTGAAAACTAGCCTATTAATTGGCTTATGAAAAGCATTAAAGAAACAATTAATAAATTCCTAAAAGTTTTCTTAATGCACTACTAACATAGAAAAATAATAATAAATAAAAATATTTTTATGCTAGTCCACTAATAATAATTTTTTTTTTAATAAAAAAATTACACGGCCATGATTTTCTTTAACGATTCTTTTTAAAATCATTCCCCGAAAACGGGTTGCAGCTGAAGAGGGCTGCATTTCCGAAATAACTGCATAAGAGTTACTAGGTGTATTATGCTCTATAGAAGGGTTTTTGAAAAAGATTTACTAGTTTAAAAAAAAATGGTAACAATTCTTACCGAAAGAATTTTGGCACTCAAGAGGAACTGTCATGAATTGGAATATTTGTATAACGCAGTTTTTTTATTTTATAAAAAAAAGATTAAAATTTTTATGTTTCTAGAATTACAAGCTATTTAACAGTAATAAATCTTATTTTAGTAAAAAAAAGTTTTCCTTCGAGGGCCACAAAAGTCTTCAAAGTTTGCTTGCGGGCGCTCCAGTTTTAAGCGTTTATTAGTGAAACACTAGTGGTTTTCAAGTATTTTCAGCTGTTTGCTTTGCTTATCACGAACTCAATTCAAGCTCTTATATATATTTAAATAAAATAATGATTACTTTTTAACATATTTTAGTTAAAAAAATATTTTTAATAATAATAAAAAATAGAATATCTTCAGAGGTTTAAGAATAAATTTAATTTTTCATAAAATGCCTATAACTATAGAGTTGGTGAGTAGTTTTACTTATAACCTTCGAATTTTTTCTTAATTTTTCTATTTATATTTAAACTTTTTCTAATTTAATCTTAAATTAATAATAATATTACCAAATACTATCAATCATAAGGAAAGCGATTACGAAGAGTTAACGGATTATGGCGATCTTTCCGAAGTTTCAAGTACGAACACACGATTTACCAATTATTTATTTTTTATTAATTATTAGAAAAAATAAATAAACTTTAATACTTCTTCTGTAGTATCAGAACTACTTTATCGGTTTATTGATCTTGAAGAACCCGTACTTACCGAGGAAATGTTATCTTTTCTCAGTTGTAAAGGTATTCTTTTATTTTACTTGTTATTAATAAATTATCTATAATTTTAAAATTTTACAGACGTTTGTAAAAGTTTTTTCAAAATTATACTTCGATTTCCTTTTTGTAATGAAAATTCTTCCTTTGTTTCTTTGGATCCAAAATGGTCCATCTTTAAAGATCGTAAGGCTTGTTATCTAAGGTTACTCTTCAACTGTTGTATACTGTCATAATTTTTAAAAAATATAAACTTTAAAATTATGTATTAATAACTTTTACCTTATAATTTATAAATTGTTTAATCATTTTTACAATTTTCTTTAGTTTTACTATACTACAAATTATTAATCAACTTATATAATTTCAAAAGATTATATAAAAGCAATTCGATTATAATAATTTATTTTGATTTAATTTTTTAATTAAAAATTTTTCTAAAACTGTTTACTTATTATTTCCATATATTATTTTTTTTTAGTTTCTATCCTTTAAAATTTGAATTTGTTAATCAGATATTCGCTTTTGTAAAAAACTTTTATTATTATTGAGTAAAACCTTTTTAAAACTAATATATTTCAGTAAATCTTTTTTTAGTTTTTAATAATTTAACCCTTTTTTAAATTAAAAATAATTTATATAAAAAACTATAATATTTTTTTAAATTTATTCTGTTTATTATTATATTAAATTTAAATATTATAATAATTAAAAAATCTACTTGAGATTAATCAATATATAATACTAATAAGTAAAAAAGTTGTGGAAAATAAATTTTACTAAAAAGTTTTTTTTAATATTTTCTTTATTATATTTATTTATAGTTTTATACAACTTTTTTATAGAGTACATTATTATATTAAATATAGATATTATAATAATTAGAATAAATTTAGTTAACACAATAATTAGAAAAAAGTTGTTTGGAAATTAATTTTACTAAAAGGCTTTTTCCTTAATATTTTTTTATATATTTATTTATAGTTTTATTTAAGTATTGATAACTTTTTAAAGCGCGTTATTTATTTTTTATATATTAATATCAACTTTTTACTAATTCTAATAAAGAATATTATTTATATTTTTTTTACTTGTAACAAAATAATAATTTATTATTAATTTATACATTTTATTATTTATTTTTTTATATATTATATTTATAAAAAAGTTTTCGTTTATGCGTTCTTATTTTATATTATTACTATTTATTATACTACAAACTTTTTTTTTTATTGAATATAAAAAATAATATATTTTTCTTTATTTGTTATAAATATTTATTTCATATTATTATTTTTATTAAAGTTTATTATGTTTATTATATATTTTTATTAAAAGTGTTATACTTATATATATATTTACCGTATATATAAATATAATATTCTCGTTGAGATAAAAACTTTTATAATTATTATATTATTTATATTATAAATTCTTTTAGAATTTTTTTTCTTATAACTTTTTTCTAACAAATTTTATATAATGAAAGAAAAGTTATAATAAAATAAAAAAATTATTTTTTTAATAATATAGTGATATTATGAAAGTAAATTTATTTTACTTTTTACTATATTAATAAAACTATTTCTGATAATAAATTAAATTGTTTATAATATATTTAATAGTAAATATTTTTTTACAAAACTTTTAATAATATAAAAAATAAAAGTCATTATAATTATTGCTACTAAACAAAAATAGTAATAAATATAAAACTATTTTATTTTATAAAAGTATAAATAATATTTTATTTAAGAAAATATTAATAAAGATAAAAAGTAAATAATAAAAGTTCTATTAACTTTTTTTTTAAACTGCTTTAAAAGAAATAAAGATGCACGTGACTTTCTCTCCGTCCGGCGGGCGTACAGGGCAATGTCGCTATTCTGCTCGAATGAGCTTCCAACCAAACAACTGTGTGACACGTGGATCAGCACGTGTTTTACTAGTATGGGTAAATGGCTTTAGATGCATACTTTGGAAGTTTTTTTGATATTATTTTATTAAGTTTACTGTTGATGTTTTATATAAATATATTTGTTATTAATAATTTTTATTACTAATAATATAAAATAAATAGATAAATGAGTTAAGAATATTAATTAAAAAATAATAAGATTGAAATTTATAAAAATTATTTAAGTTTTGTATAGCACTAGTAAAAAATAAAAAAAAAATATATTTATTATATTTTTATTATAATGTATATTAAAAATATTTAACAAAGGTAATAAAAGAAGATTCATCTTAATAACTTTTAACATTTTAAAAAGTTTGTTTTTCTTTTTATATTTATATGTATTATATAATATATTTGGTTTAGTAAAAGTGTTTCCATTAAATAACTTTTTCATAATAAAGAAACTTCCTAAACATTTATATTATATATATATATATTTACCTATTATTCTCTTTTTGTATTTGGTTTAGGCAATATTAATTAATTTTTAATAGTATTTCTAAAATATATTCATTATTAGAACTAATGAGTAATCAAGTTTTCATAATATTTTATTAAAAAAATTAATATTATTAATATTATTACTATTATTATTGAGTGGAGACACTTTTCCTAATATTTGAAGCGGCGTGCGTTGGTTTGTTTACACACTTTCAAATGGTTTACTACCGTCTGCTCATCTCTAGTCCTGATAGGCTAATAAAAATGCTACTCGAAAATGATTGGGTGAGAAACCTTTTCACCAATGGCTAGTCGTTTTTCTACTCAACATATTTAAGATGCTCAAAAGTTTTATTGATAATATCTGTCATCCTCCCATTTTCGACGCCTTTCTGCACACAATAAAAAGTGAAGCGGACTTTTCTGTTATAAAAGAGTTATAATAATTATAATAACAACAATGATAATAATAATACCACAAACCAGCTTTCTTGTGAAATGTTCCCAAAATTCTCTTCTTGAATATCTTTTAGCGCTTTCCAGTGACGGTAACTATTGCTTTCATTCTTTATATTTGATTGGCTCATTTCCTCCTAGAAGGTATGGGCAGCCCGGCGGCACTTGTATTAGGGTCCCTTTCTGATTCTGTTACCGAACTGAAATCAATTTATATGTTATTTGGCACTCAAGAAATAGTCCGGCGCGCCATTCTTGTTGTGATTGATGTTCGTAAATTTTTATGAAAGTTTTATTTTATTTTATGTATTGTTATTGCCCATTTTTTAAGGGACTTTCCAGTACGTTGCCTGTTCCCGCTAGAAAGCGAGAGTGCATAACCGCTTTGCATTCGTACTACTCTCTCTGGTTACTTTCTGCCTTTTACTTATTATGATATTTACCAATCAACTTTTAAGCAGGAACCGCAGCATACCAGTGAGTGGCACACACAATAATAAGTATTATTATTATCATTATTATTATTTATATTATATTATTAATATTTAGTTTGAACGTTCACGAATGCTTTTTAGAAATTCTTCCTTTTCTTTCTAATCTTCTAGCGCACACCAATAAAAACAGGTTTATTATTATTATTATTATTATTATTATTATTATTATTATTATTATTATTATTATTATTATTATTATTATTATTATTATTATTATTATTATTATTATATTTACTGTTTCTTTGCTTTATTTATTGTTCTGTGGATAATTATTAGTACTGTATATTTTCTTGAAGGTTTCAATATGAAGTTTCCAGTATTAACGTTTTTAATATATCTGTCGCGGAGTTACTTTATAGCATTCTTACGAAAGGCTTGTTCTATATGTTAACAAACAATAAATCCTTATTTTCGTAATATTTATATTTAAGACTCCACCTGCCTACCAACACCACGTGGTCTTGATCTTATTGTTCCTGAATATTGGAAACTTTTGACTTTGTGGTTTCTCCAATACGAGTTAGTCGTTTATTTTATTATTATTATTATTATTATTATTGTTATTATTATAATTGTTATTATTATTATCATTATTATCTTTAAAGGAAGAATAATATCTATCACTGCCTTTACACAAAATATTTTATGTCATGCGTTTTGTCCGGCCACGTGACAACCTTGTCTTGGTTTTTTGGTAAAACAGATCTCGTTACTCACCTTGTAGAAGTTTCAACTACGAATGAAGGTAGGAAAAGTTTATAATAATGATAATATTATTATTATTAATAATAATATGAATCGCCAAAGAAAGGAAAGCACACGCTCTACTGATGTGCGGGATACTCAAATATGCCTCGCAGCGGCAAACTTGTGATTCTTATATAAACACGCTATTATATAAAAATTTGAGCTGGAAAAAATATTCTCAAACGATTGAGTAAAAGAAAAACTTTTTTATTATCTTTTCGCTTTTTTTATTATCATTATAATTTCGTAACAGCTGCGAATTTAAAACCGTTTTTATGAATTCTAAAAATTTTAAAAATTTTGATCCTCGAGTGCTATACAGTTTTCTTCGCGACGTGCTGTACAAGTTGGTTATATCTTTTTTTATGTGCAACTCTTCTCTTACTTTTAAGAGCATTAGCAGAAGTAAAAACGGGATTTGTGATTCCCAACTTGATTTAAGGATGCCTTGCTCTCTTGAATCTTATCGTATTTTCATTATATTTAGTAGTATTATTACTATTTAATATTATTAATATTTATAGTTTTTAAAGTTCTGGAACTAATAAAAAAATAAAAACTTTTTGTATGATCCGAACATCCCTTGCCCGTTAGCTTTTTCAACGCTGATACATTCTAAGCAACTTCATTCTATTAAATAATAATTGAGACTTTGATTTTGCAATTTTTTTATACTGAAATTAAATCATAAATAAATTTTTTTTTAAAAGGCTGTGGTTAGCTTTTCTATAAATTTGTAGACATCGCTCTTTTGCAATATTTATGATTTTTTAAGAAAAATTTACGTTTAATTTACCCTCCACCTAAAGGCATCTTTCTTTTCTGTGAAGATATATAAGTAGACCCATAAAAAATTATTAAGTAGTCCATTAGTATAAATTAGTTCTTGTAGCTCGCAATAAATCTTTTTTTTCCTCACCGGATCTTAGATTCAATTATCCCCCTTTAAGTAAATTAAGAAATTTACAAAGATTAACTCATGTAAAAATAAAATTTTAACGTCGTTAAAAGAGTTATAGCATTAAGCAAACTTCTTTTTAAGATAAAGGCTGCTTGTTTAAAACTAAAGTCAGCTTTTCAAGTTATTCCGTTTAGGAACTTATAGCATACTTGAAAAAGCTAAAAGGCGTATTTTACTAGAAAAATATAATTAATAACAGTAGAGTAAGTCAATATATTTGACAGGGTCATCAATAATATACTAACAACTTGCTATAAAGTATTTTACAATTATTTAATTAGTTTTTTCTGTAAAACACATAAATATATTAGAAGGGAGAAAATTTTATATAAATTTTTTTTAAAAGGGTCACTTATAAAACTGTGTAACTTGGATGGTAGTTTATTTTCTGTAATTCTTTTGTGTTATAATATAGTATATGTGCGTGGCAAAGTTTTTATTTTTTACAACCTTTTCATAAGTATAATTTTTCTGGTTCAAGGTCATAGCATGGTGACTACAAGAACTACATATGCCGCTACACCAGTGTAACAGTATTTTTTAACTTTAGGGTTTTGTTATTATACAGTAAAATTATATTTAATATGAATGCTATAACAGGATTATATTAAAGGACTGTGACTTCAATAACTTATAGCAATATACCTGTCCTGAGGAATCAGTATAGCAAAGTTAAAGTGGATTTTAAAACTATTATGTAAGAACCTACTTAGCTTATCAAGTAATATATGAGATATCAACTGAATAAACTGGTACCCGAGGACAACAATTTTTTAATTAAAAAAATCTTGAAGTCGAGCTTTACAGTTTAGTTTAGTAGATAGGAGATCAATTGTGTTATGCATTTATAATATTTCGTTTCAACATATCTATTGATTTATGACTTAAAACTACCACGGCAAGATCTTTAAATCAAGATTATAAACTGCCTGAGTGAGAGTTAGGTTTATAACCTATCAAACTGGATACTTTTAAAAGATTATTAAGTAGTCTTTTATTATTAGTAAAGAGTAAAGTCCTAAGAAGGATATGAGTGAGCTTTAAAAAGTTTGTGACACTTCTTTACTTTGTTTACTTTGCGTTAAAAATTCTGGTAGATATTCAAGTTATATTGGTTTAGAAGTTACGTATAAAGTTTTTTGTAAAATCTTTTGGAAAGTTCCAATAGGTAAAAAAGGTTAATTTATCTTTTACAAAAAAATTATTTTTATGGCCAAAAATTCCTCGTATCTGCTTTGGACTTTACATTGTATGTAAACAGTTAAAGCTTTTATCTTTTGCGCAGCTTTCAGTTATACAGTGTGCCAAATAAAGATGCTCTTTCACAAAGTATAGAGTAATAAGCACATTTTTAGAGGTAAAAGTCTTACACAATATTTAATATAAGTTTTAATTTTGGTATTTAGGGATTTAATTAATTTTTTTTTAATGGAATCAAAAGCAGTTGTTTTTTTTAATAACCAATTAGTAAAATTTATTGTTATACCTTTTTTCTTAACCTTTATAGTAATAACCTATACAATTCTTTAGTACGCAATAGATTTATAATTGCGAAGGTTGAGTTATTTTTAAAAGGTGGAGCCCGATTTCTCATCTATTTTAGAAGTAGTGTTCTCTGTGCACTTATAAAACTGTTTAATTTTAACTTAAAAAATTAATTTGTTTATGATTTTATTAATAAATAAAGATGAAAAAACAAAGTAATTTTTTTTAATTAAGCTGAACAGCTCAAACATTGTTGAAATCTATTGCTGAAGTTTGAAATTCACCAGTTTTTTGTTATAAAATTTTATTGAAATGCTTCGAAAAATATTATCTACATAATATAGTAAAAGTGAAAAAAAGTTATAATCTAAATTTTTTGTAACGACAGTATCATTATAAAATAAATTAAAAAATAGTTTTGTTTATATTTCTTCGAATATTAAATCTTGATTTTCAACTTAAGTTAAAAGTCGTCCTTCCGACACGATTCAATTAAGGTTTTAAAGAAATCATAGTTCTGTTAAGTATAAAATGTGTTGAATAAGGAAAAAATCTTATTATAAATGTTTAAACTTATTTTTTAATTTTAAGCAAGATGGCTCATTAGGTTATTAGTGCAAGCAGGAATAGGTATTATAAAGTAGATTTTTTAAACCGATTAAAACTTTAGTACCACTTTTACTATAAATAAACATTCACATAATGAATTTTTTTTCAATGAAGCTTGTCTTTTAACTATTTATTCGGTATTATTTATAGACTACTTATTCTATCTATCATGGTTTTATCATTTTTCATGTCAACTTAGGTAGAGGTCTCTCGGTAGCTTTACTGAGTGACTTTAGCAACCAAAAGTACCCTTCGTTGTTAAAATTTGAATATTTTAAATATCTATGTTAGACGGGAACGGGTGAAGTGTAAAATTGTTTGTAAATCTATTTTTAAAAATATTTTCTACGTTATTTAAGTTGCTACGTTTAAATTTAAAAATTTGTATTAGGCAAATTAAACAAGGGAAACGCTTTTTACCAACTAAAAAAAGTACTTATAAAATTAAACCTAACGTATCATTCTTAATAATCATAATTTAAAAGTGAAGTTTTTTTATATAGACTATTTTTGCAATTATTTACAACTTTAGTTCTGTTCAAGGCTAAAAATAAATGAGTCCTCCAATAATAAACTTTTCATTGTTAATGAAATTTTTCCTTTAACTCTCTTTTCAATTTAGGCTAAAAACTCTGCCAACAAAGAGTTATTTTCTAGTAACACGTATTTCTAAACTTCACTAGAGCATGAGAATTTAAGGTCTATAATAAATTTAGATTAACTTATTAGTACTTTTTTTTTTAATAAGATGGATCCTAATTTTCCATTAACGCGAAATTAAGGTAAGAGTTAATAAATTTAGGTTCAATAATGCTACAAAAAAGTAAAGTAAGTGAACTTTAAGTAGAGTATAAATACTTTTATTTATGTTGTTAGCATTTAGTTACTAATCTTTATTGAACGATCTGGATGACAGTCTGATCCCTCGCTGCCTTCAATATAATTTATAATTATGGCCCTTAAATCTTTTTCTATTTGTTTATAACGAGTTAATTCAGTTTCAAGGATATTCTTTTCTTCAAGAAGTAAATTTTCTTGAACAGTGGAGCGTTGTAACTTGTTAACTTTGCTTTTTATGGTGCGTACAAGATAAATTAAGCGTTCCCGTAGATATTCATAGTTGGCGCTAACCCAAGGCGTTTTGGTTAAATTCTAATAATAAATTAGATTAAATTACCGATACGACAAATCATAATAAAATTGATAACTTCCGGTTCTAAATTTGAGTCCTCCAAATTAAAAGTCTTTATTAATTCCGAAAATATTTCAAATATTGTTTCCGTTAAAATCTTATTATCACTTGCCAGACGCTCTAAAGTAAATCCTTGAGCCTTTACTACGTTTTCTACCATTTGAGTGTCCAAACTTAAATTCTCCAGTAATCGTTCATGGGTATTGCTAATTGCTTCACTCGAAGTAAAAAAATTCCGCCTTAACTTATCTTTCAAATTTTCTATTTCATTTTCCAGTCGTTGGATGGCGACCTTCAAATAATAATAATAAATTAATTAATTTTAATAAGGTAATTAAACCTGATGATGCCGCTCTCTAGTTTCAAGTGCTTTTTTTAACTGTTCGCAATTTGCTTTCTCTTTTTTTAATGAACGATCAGTTTGACTTAAATCGCTTTCCATCAATTTCAGTTGAGTAGTTAAGCTATAAAAATAAATTTTGAAATCACAAGAGCTTCAATTATAATATTACAATTATAAAGTTAAAAACTTGTTGTTCTTTTGCAGTAACTTGAAATTTTCATTTGCAAGAGCTTCACTTTTTGATTGCGCAAACTCTAGTTTTCTTAATAAACTACATAGAGAACCCAATTTACCGAAATTATTTATAATTAAAACTAAAATCTTAATAAACGCTTAAAAAATTAAAGTCACTTTAATTTCTCAGCTTCAGTCTCTCTTAACTTTGAGTTTTCTATATTTTTATCCCAAAGAAGAAAGTTGATTACTTGGCAAAAGGATTGTAAAGTAGATTCACAGTTATCTTGAGTGCTTTCCTTGAGAAGCTCAGGACAATTGAACCTTGCAAGAGACTAGCGAGATTACTAAAGGGAAATAGTTAATATCAATTAATATGAGAAAAAAGGTAACCAAGTTAATATAATTTATTTGCTCACGCAAAGGTAAAATAAAAGTTGACAAATTTTCTTTGTCACTTTTCTGTAAAGCAGCTAAAGCAAATTAAAGTTCAAGTAAGTAATAATTTAAAGCACTATAGTAAGTACCTTCAGTTTTAAAGCTCTTAAAAGTACCACTAGTAGTATCATTCTTTTTGTATGTATCGTAAAAAGGTTGGCCGCCCTCAAAATTAAAGCCTAAGCGGTTTTTATTTCCGCTTATTGAACAATGCTCAAGGATAGAATAGCTTAGATTTTCTAACTCATCCTCAGAAGATTGGCAAAAGTAGTCTTCTTTCCTTTCACGTTCGTTTTCTAAAAATTGATCAGAAGCTGTAGTTTTTTCAGATACGGCCTCGTTCATGTTTTTCTAAGTCGCTTTTTAGTACAAAGCAAAATCTTATTAATGTATACTTGTAAATAATCCTTTCTGATGGTGCTCGATCGAATCGATAAAATTTAAACACTCGAGCTCACTGGTTAGTAGCGTTCATAAAGCTTATCTGATTCAATTTTTTTCTAAATGTCCCTATACTCTTCCCCTTATTTCATACCTGTTAATAAATATGTTCACAGGGTATTACGTGGTATAGGTAAATGAGTTTACCTGCTAGAAACGCTTGATGCGGTCAGTTAGCCGTTTACTTAGGATATAATGAAGCGAAACAGCTCTTGTTCTGTCACATCGTAGGCTCAGACCGCATATAAGTAAAATTATTTAGATGTTATAAGATACCTATGCGTTGTAACCTAACCAGAGCTTGCTTTTAGCAAAAAGTACAGGGTACGCCAGCTGGCCGCCAAGACCGTTCATGGCGACGATGACCTCAAGATTTGCCTTGGAGGCCCCAGAAAATTATCTAGTCGCTAATGGTCAACATCCTTAATAGTGTTGCAAGCTTTTTCGTGGTTATATGTAGAGGGTTGCCCCTCTGAGAACACAACCCTAACATTTAAAGCGTCGTGGGCGCGTCGCGCACTTTCTTCTTTTTTATTGTTAATGCTTGTTAAGTGACGAACGTTGTGCTACTCGGGCGGTTCTAGAGCAATCAAATAAATTGTAACAGCTCTTTAAATTTAACTAACACTATATTGAAATTCTTTGTTATATAATATATTCTATACTACTTCTATAATATACTAGTTCTGGAAGTTTTTAAGTTTGCAAGCTCTACAACGATGAGAAGTTCCTTGTACTCCTCCGCCCTCATGGACGGTACCAATCGGCAAGAGCGATAGATAGTGCTGCAGAGGATTGAGACGTAGAGCGGGCGGACTTGAACGAGTAAATCGCCGTACTTTTAGCGTGTACCAGGATTCATAGGTGAGGTTTGGCTAGAACCGACATGTTATCCACTTAAAGGGCGAAGGATAAACCAAAAGAAAAAAATATATATAACAGGCTAGTGCATGGCATTGCACTTTTAATAGACTTCCCGTAAATAGTTTAGGCTTTCGTTGCAGGCTCGACACGTAGGTTGGTTGGTTATGTTTTATATTTTTTTCTCTTTAGTAGCCGAGTAAATGCTAGTTTGCCTTTGTGGTCGTTTGTGGCCACTCAAATGAGGCACAGGATTGCAACTTCGCGTGCGTCGTGGCTAAGTGGCGAGCAACGATCAAAGCGCCTAAAGATTTTCGGCTTCAGGGTTGTTCTTGTTCTCAATTTTCTTATGCCCTACCGTCATTACTTATAATAAGCCCACCATGCCTCTAAAAAATATTTACTTATCTTTATATTTGAATGAATGAATTTTCGCTGCCTTTAAAATTAGCAGATATTTTCCTAATACTACCTTTAAAGCATATAAAACAGCGGACTGTAGAAATAAAAACTTTAATTGAGATCGCGAAACAAACCAATAGAATCAGAAATTTCTCTAATCATTTGATAATACACTACTTGACCTACTAGCACAATTCCGTTGAGGATGAGTTTCCCAGTACTTAACACTTCAAGTTCGGAAAGATCTGCAGTGTTGCCAAAAAAAATTCCTTTATATAAAATTAACGTAATACATACTCTTTTCAGTCAAAAGCCGTCAAATAAATTTTAAACTGAAAAGCATTAGCTTCTGTCGCTTATTTTAGTCAAAGTTAATCTTTCTTTTCAGCGTTGAGAATGCGGGAAGAGCTTCCGGTGCAAAGATAAATTTCTCTACTCTTGCACGCGTTTAATTATTGTTACCAGGTAAATTTTCCGTAACATCATTTCGAGTTGTTACTCCTTCAGAACCACAAGTTGATAAACATCGTAAAACTTTTTCTCAACGTAATCTTTATCTCCGAAAGTCCTCCAATTTATATAATTTTTTTTTTGGGGGGCAGAGTTTTGAACAAATAACTGACCATACAATATATCGTATACTAAGCTGATGGTCATAAAAGATTACTTGCCGAAAGATAGACGCCCAAAGTTTTATTATTATGATCCCTTTGAAAAAATGTTTACCATACTGATCATACAATAGCAAAAATAATTATATATATATATTATATCTAATTCATAATGAGCTGGTTTAAATTTTTGTGCTTTAATCCTAATTATAATGAAGTGGCATCTTTACTATTAAGTTTTTATATGCATTAAGCCATATACTAATTAACAAAACAAAACTAATTTTTAAAGTTAGCACCATGCTCTTTAGTGCCATTACACTTTTGGCTATTAAAGAAGTCCGTGGATGAAACTTATGCTAATTTACTATTAATTTTAAGTTGTTATTTATTGCATCTCGCTATAAATAATTAAATCTACGCCGCTAAAAAGTTTATAACAAAAAATTTAGCTGAATTAATAAAATTTACAAAAATTTTAAGTTGCCTAAAAATTTTTAACTTTTATAAGAGAAACTCGCAAGTGTTTTAAAAACTTTTCAAAGTAAAGCTGCATATATTTTACTCGGCATTGTTTTAGTTGATATCAAAAATAATAAAGAGTTTATCCTTATAAATCTTTAAGCAAATGCGGCACAATTTTAAGCGGTTTACGTGATTCACAATTTTCTCAACTTTTTATAAAAAGTTTATTTTTTAAATTAAGAATTTATGTGGAAAAAAGTAATACCTTTAAGAAAAAATTTATAAAAGTTATCAGATAGTAATAAAAGATTATTAAAAACAAATCTCACTCAAAATTTTATAAGTAAAAAATATATTATAACTTCACTTTTAGAGTGCCCATCTGTTAAAAATATTCTAAAATTTATTAGGATTAAAATTTGAAATTCCTCAAATTTGAGATCAAAAGCTCATATATGAGCGTCTTTTCTACAGAGTGTCGCCTAAGGGAACTTTTTTTCTACTTAAAAACTATAAAAATTATTTCAATCGAGTAAAAATATAAAATTATATTTTAAAATTAAAAATTTAATTAACCATCCAAAACCTGTGTAAATTTTAAATTAAAAACTATTGAAACTATGATAAGTCCAAAAGATTTTCTTCTTCGTAAAATCTATAAGTCAAAATAAATAATTCATTAGTAGATCCTAAAATAGATACTAACTTTTTAAAAAAAATTAAATTTAACTATTTTTGTAAAATTGCTTTTTTTTATTTTCGTTACATTGAAACACACCACAAAAATAATCAAAATATAAATAATTTAAATTTGGTTTAATAAAATAAAAAATATATAATGAGAAAAGAAGTTTTTAGAAAAAAGTAATTAAAGTTATAATAATTTTAGAAAAGAAAATTTAAGTGTTTAAAAAAAAATATTAAATATATATTATATAACTCTAGATTTTCTAAAATCTAAAAAAAATAATTACTTCTATAAATAAAGTAATAAAAAAATATAAATCAAAAATAAATTAATTTTTTAAAAATCTCGATTTTCTATTTCTCTAATTAAATTTATAAATAAAGTAAAAAAAATTGGAATCCAAAATCTAATTTAATTTTTTAAAAATTGTAAATGCCTTAAAAATTTACTTATATAAAGTTTGATAAGTTTTCAAAAGTAAATCTGAGAGTTGCGGGAAAGAAACAAAAGCCTCGTCTTCAGTAATTTCCATTCTCTTAAGTAAAATCTATTTTATAAAAAAAAAAAATTTAGATTAATTTAAATTTGGAAAAATAAGATTTGCTAAAATTTCAAATAATGTTAAAAAAAGCGTTAATTATTTTTAAAAAAAAGGTAAAATTAATTATTAAAAAAAAGTTTGAAAAAAAATTAATAAAATCGATAACAAGTAAAATTCTATAAAAGAAAATATCATGCTTTCTACTAAAATTTTATTATTCAGTTATAGAAATCTTGACATTTTCAATAAATTTTGCTTATATTTTTATTATAACTTAAGAGTTTAAATAAAAAATTTATAAAAAATTAAAAATCTTATTTTTTTTAAGAACTTGAAAAAAAAAAACAGCAAATTGTTATACTAAAAGTGAGATTATAATCCGCTTTGAAAAAAAATAATACTTTAAATTTTGAGGTAAATTTTATACAATTTTATACTTTAAGGAAAAATTATCCTTATAATTAATTATGAGCATGAATTTTTAAGTCAATAACATTATTTAAATAACGTTAAAAAAAATTTTAAAAAAATCTCATATAAAAAGTGATAGAATAACTTTATATAACTTTATGGAGAGAAAGAGAGATTCAAGTCTATATATAGATATAAACGTTATTAATAAATTGTTAAAAAATTGTTTTCAACTAGATTTAAATAAATTATTAAGTAAAAAAAAATTTTGAAAAAATTAAAAATTCTAAAACAAAATTGGTTTTATAATAGGAATTAATTAAACTTTACGAGCCATCAAGATTCAACAAAACTAGATTGAATTTATACAAACACAAATAAAAATTATTTAGAAAAAATTCTTAAATTCATAAAATTTAAAAAAAATAAAAACTTATTTAAAATTATTTAATGTGTAACAAGCTTACTTTTTAAGATTATTTTAAATAAATAAATAAATTTAGAAATCTAAAAAAAAGTTTTAACAAATCTTTTCAGCTTAAAAATATTTTATTTTATATAAGAAAATTTTTTTATAAATCAAAAAAAATTTTGAAAAATTATCAAATTACAGCTTTAAAAATTTTTATTTTTAAAAAAAAATCTAGAAAAAGATTAAATTTCATTCTTAAAAATTAAACAAAATAGTATTAGTAAATCAAAATTCAGCAAAAAATTTTATTTCATATTTAAAAAACAAAAAATAATAGAATTCAACAAAAAAAAGTCTTCAAGGTTTAAATAAAAAATTGAATTATATAATAAAAATGAAACTTTAATAATCACTGAAATTAAAGAAATATTATGAAATTTAGAAACGTCTTTCGAAGGGATTGCATAAACAGCAAAGCCCACTGTCTTGCGAATAGCCCAAGAGTGAAAAGGAGCCAGTGAGTCGTTATAGGCGTCTAACGCAACTTTGAAAAAATTAAATACAGTTAATTAAAAAAATTGGTAAAAAAAAGATTAGTGATTAGTAAAGAAGAAATTTCAAGCATTTATAATCCTAAGAAAAAGTTGTAAATTCTATAATAATACGTAATAATTTCATACTAAATAAATGTGATTTGTAATTTGTGCTAAGTGCATAAAAAACGGACTAAATAATTAAAATCGTAAAAGCAAAAAAAAATTAATTATATAAAAAAAAGATTACTGATTAGTAAAGTAAAAAAAATATTTTAAAAACTGAAATCAATACAAAAAGTTGCAAGTTTTTACGGTATACATTAAAAAAAATTAATTCATAAATAATTTTGATTTGTAAATTTGTGCAAAACGGAAAGTTAAAGAAAAATTGTAAATAAAAATTAAATTAATTAAAGTAAAGAGGACTAAATTAATGATTTTTTTTGATCTTTATGGCTGACAGAAATAAAATTGAGCAACGTGGTGCACGAGATAACAAATTAAAACACGAATTAGTTAAACTTTCTTGTTTAAATAATATAAAATTTAAAAATAAATAATTTGTCAGAATTTTAAGTAAAAAGTATTAAGTTTAAGTTTATAAAAATTAGCATTGAAAATTAAAAATAAGATTTTTCAAGGTAAAAAATTAATTAATTATTTTTAAAATTAAAAATAGAAATTAATTAAAGTAAAACCTTTTGTAAATTATTAATAACTTATAAATTTTAATTATTATATTAAAATGTAAACGTAGTGAAGTACAAAATACACCAACAAACTTCAGGAACTAAAATTTTAAATTATACTGAAAATAATACTGAAAAGATTCAGTTAAGAAAAAAAATATAAAATAGAAAATATTTTTAGTTAAAAAATAAATAACATTAAAATAAATTTTATAAAATTATATATTAAAGTATTACAGGAAATTTTTAAAATTTTATGACAATAAAATACTTCCAAAAATTGTTTTAAGACCAAATTGTGGTATGTACAAATTTTTTTAGTCAAATTTACTAACAAAAAAATTTACCAGCTAATTCTGGAATTATTTAGATAAAAAGAACTAATAAAAGAAATTGAGATATTTAATTCGAAAAATATATAATCAAATATTTTAAGCAAACCAAGATGAGTAGGGCGATCAGAATCAAGTAGACCTCTAATAAGAAATCCTATGAACTCTTAATAATAAATTAAGTTTTATAGCAACTGTAAAACATTTTATTATAAATCCTCAAAAAAAATTATTTTAAAAAAAAAAATGCAATATTATTACAATAAATGAGTTGAATTTATCATCTTTACATTAATAAAAAAATTGTTTTATCAAAATAAATTGATCTATACATAGAAAATTTAATACTAAACAGTAAAAAGATATCACAAAAATTTAAAAAATAGCAGCTAAAAATATATATAAAATACGAAGAGCCCGATTGAGCCTGAGTAAATTTCGTGAACCGTTTTTTTTATCGTTTTTCAAAAGACCATTCTGTTTTTCGTACGTAACCATACTCTTGTAGGAGTAATAAATTTAAAAAGTAAAATTTAAAATACTAAAAATTTGGTAAAGGGTCAATTGTAAAAAGTATAGGCTACCTGTAAAGTATCATTACCGTTTGGTGCGTCTCTTTCGTGATTACATTTCTCTATAAGCTTCAATTTTGCGGTGATATCTGAAGTAACAAAGGTAAAACCCTGTAAATAAAATATTATTTTTTAACTTATTATAAGGTATTTGATTAATTTAAATATAAGCAATGAATATGTAATAACACCGATCCACATATACTAAAAAAAGAGGCTAGTTGCCGATATGCACCGATAAATAATTCTGTTTTAATTTCCCCTTTGAAATGAGCTATATCCTCTTCAATATTATTCCACTCATGAAGTGTCTTTTAAGTAAACATAAAAGTTAAAAGTTAATATATAAGTTAATCTTGCTAGATTACTTTGTAAATGTCAAAAGAAGCCTGTTGAGAAGGAGAAGGTGGTGCTTTAGGCATTTCGGAGCTAAAAAAGTATATACTATATTCTCTTTGTTTCGTTGCAGATATTTAAACCTTATTCAGTCAAAATGAAATGAAAAGTATCTATACTAATGGCGCACATACATTTAATATTATCGCACACTTTTCTTTGCCAAGAAAGATAAGGGAGACCATAACGTATACTTAAAAAATTAAATTAAGCCCCTGTCAGGTCGAGGGGGAGATAGTACTCCCGCTGGATGGACGGGCTGCGTGGATTCAGCGATTTATAGTTACTTTAAACATGTCATTCACTTCGAGTGAGAGAAAGTTTGTTTTTAAAAAGAATTCTCAACTTCCTTAAATTACTTACTCGCTTAAACAAAGAAAGCATTTTAGAAACAACACCGACATTTACGACGCCCGTTTTTTTATTTGTCAAGGGTTATAATGTTCTAAGTATACGCTAAACTAAACATTATTAGAGTTATGTGTACTAAGGGTCTCATCATGTTAGCCGTAAAGCTCAGGAAAAATAGCGCTAATCGACTAACCTGCGCAACGGGTAGAAGCTTTTTGTGCACTGCGTTCGCCGGTGAAAGTTCAAGATGAATTATGTGTTAAAAACTCTATCTCTTTCTTACAATTTATGGAGTGGTTTAAAAACAGGGGTGTCTACCATTACCTCTCCGGCATTAATTTAGCTCTATTATAGCCGAGAGTTTCGCATCTTTTTGCAGTAGGTGTACCGCATTTATACGCCTCTACTTCATTCTATTCTTTCTCCTGGTGCTAATAAAACACTTAAGCCTGGCCACTACTGAAGTGCTTTGCGCTATCAAAAAATCGTCGCTACTGAAAACTGCTAGAATGAAATTCCTGCTAAACTAATACAGGAGAACAAACCCTTTCCGAGCGGTTCTCGGGGGAACCTCTCTGAGCAACTTATACATTATTAGTTTTGACATATAAAAATAAAAACGGAAATAATAAGTTTTTTCCAATTATGGTGCAGAAACTATTGAATTGAAAAGGGGTCAGTTACTTCTACGAGCCTAACAAAGAAACTAATTGGGTAGTAAAGAAACACACAAATAGGAAGGGCTAAAGCCTCAATTATTAAAAAAATGCAAAGCGTGCTTGCCTGGCATCCGTAATGTCTACAGTGCGCCCCATAACAAAAAAAAGCAGTAGTCATATAGGCGGTATAAATAATCTTTATTATAGCAAAGTGGAATTGAGAGGAAAATTCCTTCCAAGTAATAACCCCTTGGGCCGTGGGCTTAGTACTAAACAAATAGTTCTGCCTAAGTATTTATTAGAAATTATCACTATTTTAAATACGTCCATAAAGTTATTGATGTCTGCAGAATCTTCGCTATAGTAAAAGCTATTAAGTTAAAGCCATTAAAATATTATTTTATTTAATTATTTTTAGGGGTCTTCAAGCCTCTTTTAATAATGTAAGTCTTGTACTCTTTTTACTTCATTTGTGAACTTTTACACTTTAGTATTGTGAAGAATACATTGTTTTTAGCTGGTCGAACACCCTGCTTCAAAGCTAATTTCTGTACAAATTTCTTTCGGGCTGCTTTTCTATTCAACTTTTTTTACATGATTTTTCGTGTTTATCAAGATTTAAGAAACCAACGCTTTTTATTCTGTTTTTATTCTTGCATGAAACGAATTATCTAGTATAGTGAGGCAGTAGTTTAATGAGTCGTTGGGAATTTTCGGGACATAAGTTTATACTAGTACAGTACCATTCCTATACTACTATCCTGCTACTGCATCATACATAGGAAACAAGTACTCTTCAAGTCAGCCAAGTAAACTCCGCCGAAGAGTACAAGTATTTTACATACAGATACAACAATAGTTTAGTATAGAACAGCACTGATATTAATTGCATATTTGATTGAGAAGCAAGTACATTTTAACGTAGCGCACCAAGGATCGTAGTAATTAACTTAGAGTGGACTAAGACTTTCTGGAGAGTTCTCACTCAGTTATAAAAGTGTCTAGAGACGGCGCAAAGAACTCTATTTCCGTACCACTGACTTCTGAAATAGAGGATAACCTTAGCTTTTATTCGTAACAATTTACACCTGTTAAGTTATCTTGTTGCATAAACTTAGCCCAAGGACAGCACAACACCCAAGAGAGTAGCAAAGGTTAGAATTATTCAGTACTTAGATATAAGGTTTGAACAATTATTCTCCTAAGTAAAAACAGAGAAAGGTTGCCATGACAGCTTGCCCGCCAATGTAGAGCTAAGTTCTTGTCACCACGGCAGCTATGCTTACGGAATTGAACAATTGACTTTACGGTAAAGAAGACCACTTAACTACTTAAGCAACTTGCTACTTTAGTAACCAAAATAATTAACTAGAATTCTAGAATTGATAGCTAATTAAAATGTTCTACTAAAGTAGAACGAAAAAAAAATTAAACCAATGTTTCCTCCCTTTCACGGCCGGTACTAGGCAAACTAATAACTTTGTCACTTATCAGGTTTTCGTACCACTCCTGAGGGTAGGGGACAATGCTAGTGGTACGGAAATAGAGCTCTTTGCGCCGTCTCTAGCACTTTTATAACTGAGTGAGAACTCTCCAGAAAGTCTTAGTCCACTCTAAGTTAATTACTACGATCCTTGGTGCGCTACGTTAAAATGTACTTGCTTCTCAATCAAATATGCAATTAATATCAGTGCTGTTCTATACTAAACTATTGTTGTATCTGTATGTAAAATACTTGTACTCTTCGGCGGAGTTTACTTGGCGGCTGACTTGAAGAGTACTTGTTTCCTATGTATGATGCAGTAGCAGGATAGTAGTATAGGAATGGTACTGTATTAAGAGCCCCGGCCTCCCCTTTCTTAGGAAGGTCGACCTTTCACAAAGAGTGTTAGAACTCCGTAGCTATGAATGCTTGTAGTCCCATAAGAGTAGAGTTATTAATTTGTTTTTACGAACTTGGCAATTTTTTTAGCTATTCTTTATAACCTTTATTTGCTCAAGTATTCTTGGTTTTTTGTTCATCATAGGTTCACTATTAAACTGTATGGTTTAATAAGAGACGTTCCATCCAGAGGCTATCTTTTTTTGGTTTTAGCATTTCTGACTTTTCACTGGAGTTTTTAATCTTTAAATTCAGTTCTTTTCTTTTTATCAGATAAGTTAAACGATGTATATCTTAGGTAAGTTTTTTTTTAGATAAAAAATTTGAGTAATGTTGCATATCAAGTTACTTGCTGACGTTTTGATGTCTCTAAGAATTTTTTCATTTTTAGAGAGTAATGTTTAACTATAATTATTAAAGAAAAAAAATTAAGAGGATTCCCTTCAATTGCAACTCATTAAACGTCAAAACATAGAATAGAACCTAAAAACCCGAAGGTCATTTCTTTTAATCCGCAGTTTTTATCCTACATATCTTTAGGCGAGTCAAGTTTTTTTTAAATTCGGAGCATCAATAATGATAAATACAGTGAAGCGAATAGCTCCACTAACTATCGGGAAATTTAATTAAAGTACAACCTGACTTTCTAAAAATGGTTGGTCTATTTTTCACTTGGAAGTAAAAGCTTAAACTTGGAGCTTAAGTGCACCAGCATATACTTTTGATTACTGATAACAACACAATTTTTTTTTTGTACTGGTTGTGCGAAACGAAGCCGTTCTTTCTCGTATTTTTGTAAAACTTTTCATAACTTTCGCGCCGAGCAGTAATAATCGTTTAAAGACTAAATATAGTTCAAAGTAACTCGATCTTAAGAAAAGCAGTGACCTATTACGTCTGCAAGGTATGCCAAAGAGACAAAAATTTAAGAATAATTTTTTTTTGACGTAATTCTTTTCCTTTACTTTATAAAATATATATACTATTTCGTTATAGCCAAGAATAAATCTTTTTTTGTTGTTTTATCATATAATGTTAGGAAACTTTAGTAATACCACCAACAGTAGCTACATTTTTAAAATAATTATCCAGTAGTAATGAAGGTATCGGTGGTAGTAATTTACGTGAGCAACCCGTATGAGAGCAGTAATTCATTGTTTTTAAGCAAGCAGTCAGCACTCAATAAAGTTGAAACCGAGAAAAAGTTACGCTTTAGCAGGTAAAAGTGTTTACTCTCAGTCTATTTTGTAATGAAATGCTGAATATTTATTAGTTAAATTGCACCTTTAATTCAACTTCTTTTAACGCTTTTAAACCATTGCATGCTTTTTTTATACGTAACAACTGTATGGTTGTACGATTTCGTTTTTTTCTTGCTTGCTCAGAAAAGAAAAGTAAATAAATTTTAAAACTAGGAGTAACAGTTCAAAGTAAGTTTTTTGTTTCAGCAACGAGTTTAAGATTGCACTTTATTCTTAACTCTTTGAAGTGACAGTACTTTCTGTCCTCTAAATTAAAGTTTTATTTCTTCTGCTTGCGAAAAAGTTGATTTACGTAAAGTAAGAATTTTACACCGCACTTATATTAAAGTATTACTATAGAATAAACTTAAAAAAATGCCAAAAAATTAGTATAAAATTTTCCAACAGAAATTTTAATATGCAATAAAAAAAAAGTACTTCAACGTAGAATAAAAAATAAAAAAATGAATCCTTGCCGATCTTTAAGCAAGTCTTGTGCTGAAAAACGTACAAAAATAACGGTAAACAAGCGCCTTACAAACAAAAAGTACCCTCTTTAGCCTAAATAAGGTAGTTCGACTTGGCAGCACCAACTTTTTATTCAAAAGCCTCAGAAGTTTAAAAAGATGAGGAAGCAGTGAAAACCTTTTTCTATTTTCGCCCAAAGCTACTGAAAAAAACTGCTATCAAGTACCACACTGTGTTTTTTTTTTGTAGGTGTTCTTAATTATACTAAAGTTTTATGTAAAGTGTTGACGGACTGGTAGCTGAAATTTAAGTAAAAATTAAGAAAGGCTGTATTTTTTACTTGTAGAAAGTTTATTAAAACTTTATAACTAAGTTAATTTTTTTTTTAAATTTTGTACAGTTTGCATAACTCCCTTTTTTCTTCTAAACTAAGGGCATTTGATTTTTCCATTTCGTCTAAGATCGCAACCAACTCTGCCATAAAGCGTGTTGTCATCGTATAAAGTTTTAAAAAGTAAATAAAATACTTTTATTCGAATCTTCTCTTAAAAAGTTCACAACTATGGAAAAGCGTTTAACTTTAGACAAAGACCGTAACATTTTGCCTATCGTCGAATCACTTCTACGTAAAACGATTTTATAAAAGCTTTTAAGTAGATTATAAAAACTACACTTTCTTCTCACCTCTCAAAAAAAGAGTATAGTATTTCTACGATGCTAGACAGCATGTCGCCTGTGAGCCCATTAGAAATCAATATCGGGTACTTCTCAGGGTCTATAAGCTGTGAATACCACTTGTCGTTAGCACAAAACAATCAGAATGCGGTATAAAAAATGGAACTTTAAAGAATTGGTGAAGTGAAGTGAGATCTCGAGAGCGACTTAAATGAGCCCACATTTTTTGAAATTCAAAGGCATTTGCAGGAGCTTCGGCTGGCACGGATTCAGGCACAGTGATTGTGGAAGACAAAGTAGAACTAGAAGCCAGCGGCTCAGGGTGCGAGACGCTGTCAGTGAGAGGGCCGTCGATAGGATTAACTGCTAAGCCTTTACTACAAGAATTAGGGACTGATTCTTTAAGACTTCTATTATCGGATTCTTCCACAACGGTAGAGTTTTCCGGAAAAGACGGAGAGCAATATAAGTAGCTCTTAACCGTATTAAAAATTTGATTTTTAGCATCTTACCAGAAAATTTATGAATTTGAGACTGACATTGTTTAAGCAATTGTTTGGCCACTTTGTTGTTAGGTTCAACTAGAAGTACTGCCCTTACATCTAGCTTAAAAATATAGGAAATTCGATTAGACAATTGTTTCTTGAAACTTATAACCTTGGATAGCTGACTGGAAGCAACCAGTTTCCAAATAAGCGGAGGCGCGTCTGGCGTATGCTTTAGTGTAGTTTGGCTTCAACTTCAGTGCCATTGAACAATCACTTATGGTCTCGGTGAATCTATTTCTATAGAGTTTACTAAAGAATTTTTATAATGTTGAATTAACTCTACCGTTTAAGCTTCAAGTTAGCCATGGCTTTATTAGCCCAGAATATGGCATTTGTGGGATCTTTCTGAATGGCAAATTCATAAAAAGACAAGGCCTCTAAAAATTCCATTTTTTTGTAATGCTCGTTTCCCTATTAAAAGAAAGGAAAAATAAAGTTAAGAATATATTTATAAAAAAACCTTTAACTTAAGCTCTTCACTGCTTAAATCATACAATTGTTGCTCAGAACAAAAAATTTCTACGCTCTCTTGTCTTTGTCTCCCGGTATTATTACCATTACAACCAAGAGTAATAAATTTCTTATTATTAGAACGTTTTTCTTTATTATTCTCAAGTAAATTCCCATACTCAATGTCTTGAGTATCGTAGCTCTCTTCAACTGAATGTAAATTTACATTTCTTATAGGAGGTATGTTCTTTTAAAAGTACAATAAAACGTGAGTAACCAAAGAGCTTGTATTTCAAAAGTAAGAGAACAGCGTACTTGAAGTTTGGGAACGGATCTATTAGACCAGTAAAGATCTCTTTTCTCTATTTCAGTGAGCCAAGAGGTCAAGGAAGAAACATAACCTGAAAATAGTTGAAGTTCCTCCGTCATACTTTATAAAAAGTATCTATATTGTTCGTTTAATTCTACAAAGTTTTAACTATTATTAAAAATTTTAAATTTATTACTGAGATGGGCTCTGTTAAGGTGAAATAGAATTTTTTCTACTACACTAACTTTTTATAAAGAAAAAAGTTAGTACTATTCAGCTCTTTTCTTATAAATCTGAGGTGGTATAAGTCCTGCCTAAAGAAACCAAAAACTAATAACTTCCGATGGCTTACGCTCTTGTAAGACATTGTAGATTTTCAAGTTAGGGGCCAATCTTACTTTTGTTTAATGCATGCTCCAGGTGCTAAAGCGAGGATGACGAACTTGTTAGCGCACGTATGGGCCAGAAGTAAGGTTCAAGTAAGGTTCAAGTCCTACACTGTGAACGTTAACCATTTTCGATGCTGCAAAATATTAAATGTAACTTTTTGACAGGTAGCTAAAGTAAACATAGCAGTAACGAAATGGTGTACCTTTCAGGACATAAGCAATAGAGGGAAGCATATATAGAATTATGCTTGTTTCCTTCTTGGCAGAAGTGCAAACTTATAATAAGTAGGAAGTAATAAGTTACTTATGCAGTTAGGGCTTAGGAAAAAATTTATTAATCAGTGCTATAAAGTTTTTGTATACGAGGTACTGACTCAAAACTTATTGGAATTTTTTTTAATATATTTTTTGATTTGAATGGGCCTCCATCCATAGCCTAAGGTGAAACAACAAGCTTTTGAGTAGTGAAGGGTAGTAAAATTGTTATAGATAATCTTAAACTACCGGGATGTATACGTACTTACTATAAGTATTTAATTAGATTTAAATAACTTGATAACATTATTAAGCAAGTCCATTTTTAACTAATTTTTTATCTTATGGAGAAGCATACAATAATCGGTAGGTTCAATCCTTTACCTCTAAAGGAAAAGGCCTAGAGCTGGCAATGGGAATGCTGTAATATACCAAAAATTTTCTTGTGTAATAGAGAAAACTTTTAAATTTAAGGTTACGGAAAACATGTAATAAATGTAATAGAGTTTAAAATTTTTTTTACTACGACTCATTCACTGCAATATGTACATCAAATTTTTCAATTCTTTAAAAAAACTGTTTTAGGTAAACTTTTACAACACCCACCCTGCTTAGATCAGTCGATCGATTTTTATCTCACCAACCCCTGTAGGTATGCGTTTTATAATAAAACCAATCACAGTATTAATTAAATCGACTGTTCTACCTCCTCGGAGTTCTAAGTGTATTTGTTCTGTATTTGTTTATACATTAGTAAAAGTTTCGTTAAAATAACTTTCAAAGTATTATAGTTTAATGATCACAGAGGAAAAAATTTTAAATGCCTATAATTTACTTTTGGATTCTTCAACCCGTGAATACACAGCAAGTAATAAAACCTCTGCTTGCAAAGATTTATTCGAATGTATATCCGATAGAAAATTTAGGCATGTATTTGCTTTATTAGCTATTATTACTTTTTATAATTAAAACTAAACAGTATGAGACCTGATTTTCCTAATTACCTCACTGTGGCCGTGAAGGCTTTGCTAAATGCCAGCAATCATAAAGATAAAGATCTTTCTTTGACTGCTGTAGAGTGTTTAAACAAAGCAATAAACGTAATTTGTATTTATATATTCATTATAGTCACTTTCTTATCTTCTGTCGCTCATCTTCAATAAGTTAAAAATCTGTTTTGGCTTAAACTCGGCAATATTTTAATATGTTTAGCTTTACTTCAAGGTATTTTTTTATTTTTCTACGGCTTTTAGAGTTTGATGAGTACCCAAGCTGAGAGGCTACTATTAGAACTTTTTGAAGAAATAAATAAGGTTCTCAATATCTATGTAGTTTTTAGTTTTAACCATCTTTAATATAACTGTTAATAATTTTTTCAGAACGCTTCAACAAAATCTCTAAGAATTGCGTTAACTAAGTTTGCAGAACTATCTCACTTATTAAGACCACTAAAACGCAAAGCTTTTGTAAAGTCGCTCATAACCCCTTTGCGCCAGATTTGCAAACGAGTTGAAGATGAATCTCTTCAGGTATTACGAGTGTTCTCCTTAAAACTCAATTCACAAAACTAGAACGTCATGTTAAGATTGCTTTGGAAACTTCCTTAAGGAAGATCTGCTCGTCGTATGGTCTTTACTTCTCCTCCGCCAACATTTTAGCGTTGCTAAAGACGGGAAAGACTATTTTAATTCACAGCTCCTCCGTGGTGAGACGGGCGGCTTGTTCTCTCATAAGTACTACTTATCTCGCTTACTAATAAACGCTGATGAGCAAAGTGTGTAGGTAGTGTGTGCCAGTATGCGCGATCACCAGAAGCGTTTATCCCTCGCCTGCTTCACGATTTATATTTACTCTCGCAACAGGAGGGGGGCAACAACAACGCTCTACAAGGTAGAACTTTCAGTGTTGATTGTCACTCGGAGGCTCAGATGCACGCGCACGTGTCCCAATAGGTGTTTTTATGTGCTTGTCTAAAATTATTGACGCCATTGTGTCAAGAAATGATACTCATCTTCTTGATTTTGGTAAAAATCTCTACATAAGTATTTAATAATCGCATATTTACTTTTAAGAAGAGGGAACAATTGAACATGATGTCTACCACACTCTTCTTCGCTTTATAAAATCCTTCACTGGACATTTAATAGATGCACCCCCTCCCGTAACAAGCACTATTTTAGAAGCTTTTGCTCGAATTTTGCAGTTGCCTTTTGTTACATCCACCAAAGTATTACGTGAAGGTTAAAAACATTTTTTACTACAAAGTTATGTAAACCAATTTTTTAGTTCAACGCCTTACACGTGTTTCAGGGTGTTGTTTTTATTATTTAATAATTAATAGCACTTATGACAAGTCATAGAGTTCATTAGGGTTATTAGTGAGTGCCAAGGCATTAGCGCCTATGATCTCCAGCTGACTGTGCCTTTGGTGCTGCTTATATAAAGGAAGTAGTCGTACTTACATATACGCAATAGTGTGTAAATTGTACGCACTTTACTGCCTTTTGATCTTCGAGAAGCCTAAGGAGCTTATTACTACTCTCAGCTGTCACTTAAGTTTTTAAGCTTAAATGATTTTGTAATATATAAGCCCCTTAATGATAAGGTTTTTTTTTATAAAGGTTTATGAGAGCTCATCGTATTTAACTTTTATGTTTTGCTGTAGTAAAGTTTTAACGTTATTACCGCTTAAGAACACCTAAAATTATTGTTAATATAAAATAATTTCTTGCTTATTAACTAGTGGTACACTATAATTTTTTTACTGCATATTTTCTCATACTTAGTAATAATACTTTCTTATGATTAAAAAGTTGCGACCCCCTTTTTTATATTTCAATAAAAGAATTTTCTTTCTTATTATCAGTAAATTATATGATAGGAGGTGTTATGAGGGGCCTGTTTAAAGAACTGTTCAATAATTTATTATGCTTTCTTTTGCCTTACAAATCAACGGCACATATAAAAGTTACTGTGAAGACTTCCTCTCTTACTTGCTTGGGCTTATTATATCATGCTTTCTCCCACCTTTCTACTGGTTTTTTGAAATTACTAATAATTATAAATTTCGTCTTTATTTCGTACTGAAGACAACATATACTTAGTAAACACATTAAAGACCTTTTATTCTACTTTTTACATAAATAGACACTCTTGAAAGTTTTTCTACTTGCTTTCAGATAATAGAATATATGAAGCATGAGGACCCCGCTGTCAGAGGTAGCGTCGTCATGATGTCAGGGCGGGTCCTTAAGAACTTGTGCTTCCCCTTTAATACACCTGCGAACCCTTCAAACATTCGAGGTTATGAAAAAGAATGCCAGGGCTTGATGGAAAATTATGAGCAGCTAGTAAACGTTATAATCGAAGGACTTTATGACAAATACCCCGCTACTCAGAAACTCTCAATTTCTGCCACGGGTGTCCACATTGTTTGATACAAATTTTTTCCTGCTTTTTTAAGTCGATTTGATTTATAGGGTTATGTTTCCATTCCTTGTTGCTGTGTACACCTGAAACTGGTGTTAAATTAGCCAAGTCTTTAATACAGCTTTTAAGTAGTGAAAGCCATTGGTCTGTACGACTCGAACTTTTAGAGGTTATTAAGAATATGGACTTTGGGTAATATTTTCATGTTGTATTGGCTTTTTTTTTTTTAATAATAATCCATGGTTTTTTCACTTCAGATATATTACTTATCTGGAAAATTGTTTTGGGCCTGCTTTTGTATCTTCAATGAGTTTTCAGCAGTCGATCTTATCTCTTCTGTTGGCATGTTTAGATGATCCAGTACCGAATATTAGAAAGAAGGCTTCTAACTGTTTGGCTTGCAGCGTCACTTCTTTATCTTTTAGGTCTTTAGAAAGCTAACGATATTATTTGTATTAAATTACGTTGAAAGTAAAACTACTATTTTGTTCTACAATTACCAGCAATTACATGAATGCGGAAATTTGCTTACCACGATGGCTGGCTGTGAGGCAGTCGCTATTACTAACTTCTTTTGGGGCAAGCCCAGCTGATCTAGTGACGGGTTCTCTGAAAATTTGTTGAATTTTAAGCCCGTTGATAAGCTTGAATTATAGCTAACTCTTTGATACTTTTAAGAAAACTTGTCGAAAAACTTTATGGCTTTAGTCGTCTGGATTCAGTAAAGCTTTTGTTGACCGCCCCTTCTTACTGAAAAGCACTTTATGTTTTAGGCTGAGCGGAAGGAGGATTATCGCACATCGTCTCTATCAGGATGCTATAACGCCATTCTTGAAGTCACTAAAAAGTGCGGAGAATACGCCTGCTGGTCAATAAATAAACAGTTAGGATTAAAAAAGTAAAGCTAAGAACAGTTTATCGCCGTGAGACCTTTATTCCAGTTGGTTTCATTTAAACAAACAATAGACAATTTTGCGAGTGTTATACAGACATCATTCTTTTCTCTTTGGAAATTCTATCCACCTCCGAATTTTGTACTAATATACAGCTTCACGCTCTCATACTAGATGTGATGGCGCTCGTACTTAACAGTATAACTGCGTATTTTAAATCAAATTGACCATCTTAGCTATTTATTATCGTTTAGACGACGTTGCATCGGCTAGCGAAAAACTGCTCCCCGACGTCTTTGCTCATCTTATGTGCGTACTTCAAGTCTGTGCAAGCGCCGTCTCACAGTCGATGGTCTTCTTTTCCTGCCAGCTCACTATATGAAGCTTAACACTTTCATTCTATAGGCCCAAGACATCTTTTTTTCCTCTTCCAAGAAGTTTACTAACGGTCAACCACAAGCTAATAGTTCTGAGCAAAGTTCACAATGTCTCTATACTTACGCGGAAGTTCATCTACTTCTTATTGAGGAGTTCAATTTACAGGGATTTTCACACTTAGGAGCAACAAAGCCTATAAAGAGCTTTTCCTTATAATTGAAAAAGTATATAAGGGATCCAAGATAGCCTTAAACACTGAGGAACTCAATATTTTTAAATGCTTTATAAAGTCGGTGCTATCTTTCTTTCCAGTTTTGCTAGACTGCAGTATCATACAGGTAAGTTGCTTAAGTAAGCTTCTCTCTTATATTCATTAACCTCCAGTAAGGGTATACTTGGCGTTTATGATGTTAAGTTTTTAAAAAGCTAATTATAAGTTCTTGCTTATACTTTTACAGCAACAACAAAGCTATGAAAAAATAGTTAAATGTTTAGAGAATTTGTTCCTCTTCTCTCCTAAGGAAACCATTCAATGCGTGGAAGTGATAATTTCTGTGCTTTTTAGCGCTGAGCATACTTCAGCACAAACTGGTTGGGTTTACTGCTTGCTCTTAAAAAATTACGTATAGTTAACACTAACTAATACAGTCTCATTGCCTTTATACTCTCACTTTTATAAGTACTTTTACCAAGAATCTGCCGATATTGATGACTATCATATTGACGCCATTTCTATGTTAGTCCATCCGCGTGCAGTTGTTTATTTTCTTATAATTCCTTCTGATAATAGAGCCTCTAATCTTTCAAAGGGGGAGCAAAACGTAATGCCTACAGTTCTATTCTAAGGAAACATTCAATAATAATCTGATACCTGTAAACACAGGCGCATAAAAATGAGGAACATAGCGATAAGGCCGGCCGACAACGACTATTAAGGCTTTTTGAGAGTCTCGTCCTTAGAGCTAAGCAGGAGTGTTATACCTCCTCTGACCTTGCGTATCACGAGGTTGTCCCTGATTGGCTCTTTACAGGATATAATCGACCACTGAACTAGTCCTGAACAGCACTTCCTGGACTTGCTAATAATACTGATCAATCTACGCGTCAATTACTCGTTACTTGACCATAACAGCGTTTTTGTTGACTTTTTGTTAAAACTTCTCGAGCTAATCCGCTCGGGACACGTAAAGTACTTTTTGTGGACTTTGAACTTTTTTTTTTATATTGAGCTAATTTTTTATATAGAAATCCTTCGGGGGTGGTGCGAGCGGTAGCTCGGTTTTTCTGCACCTTGCTGTCGTCTCATACGGACACGGATGGAAAGGTGACGGAAGACACTGTATTGGACATTTTTCTGCATTTTTTTCACTCTTCTTATACTTCTGAAAGCTACAGCCAGAGGTTTTTTGTTAGGAGATATCGTCGAGCGTTTCTACATTACTTTTAACAGGTTATACTTTAGAGGAGCTGCCGTTGCGGGACTGACTGTTTACTATGAATATTGTGTTGTTAGCTCTGTTGGCTTGAGTGCTAATCAAAGAAAGTCGCTTGAGGCGCTTATGAATTGCTTGCAATGTACAGAGACGTTGGAAGTGCTTTTCCGCACCCTTCAAAATGCTAAATATTCTGAGCTGTATCTCTTGTATTGTTTAACGTTGTTAGTTTTCTTTCCTTTCTCCTTTTCTTAGTAAAAGTCTTGTTTCGAACAAACTTTGCCGTGGAATTACAACGGCATTGAAAGATTTAAATTCACTTGACGAATGCTGTTCATTTAATTATATGAACTATTTCTATTCAGTTATCGATATAGTTTCCTGTAATTCAATAAGTTTTGAAGTTCTATTAGAGACCTTGAACCGGTTGCTTAGCAATCTCTTTATTATGGCAACTGTTTTTACAAAAAATTTATTAAGAGCTCCTGAGAAGAATCCAACTTGCATCCGTGGTGTCCTTATAATCTTACTTATTATACAAAAGTTTATGCTTAAAAAGGCTGCGAACTTGTATTTTTTATCATAAACAGTTTATTAGAAATTTTGGTCTTTATACGAACTACAGAAAAGAAACAAGCCTGTACTTATGCGGATTTATAACATTACGTTTATTGGAGCTCTCTTGCTTTTCTTTTTCTTGGACGGTTATTTATGCTATTTACGAACCGCATGTCCCAGAAGGTGTTACGCTGATTAATATATAGAGCAAATTTAATAAGGATGCTTGTTTATTTTTCAACGTGTTGCAATCCACCCGGCATCTTTTGGCTAAGGCACAATTTCGAGGAGGATTCTATAGCCGTCTTCAGCCAGAAAGCTTAGCTGAATTGGCTCCTCTTCTTAACTGGTAGCAACTTTTTTAAAGAAACACTTATTTAATTTGGTTCAAACTTTTCTCTTTTCAGTTTCCCACTGGTAATCAATGAGAGCCTGAAACTATTTATCGGCGCCTCATTTCTTCCTGAACTGTTTATCAATTGCCTTTTACAAGGATGTTGGTCACTATTCTGGTTGACTTTAACTTTTTCACAAACCTTTCAATATTTCTTATTTGGTTTTTCTTTCCTTATTGCCGTACAAGGATTGAGGCTTTCCTTCCACTGATCATTCAAGACACTTCTGAAACCGTAATTTCCTGGATTCAGAAAGCCCTTCGCCGCAATTCAAAATTAATAGAGATGAGATGCTCACTATTTATAAAAGCTCTTGTTTTTTCCTGCCCTGCACTTTACCTTGGGCAGCTACTTTCCCGGCTGTTTAAAATGATGAACTCGTTTGCCCACTTGCAAGGATTCGCATTGGACTTAATTAATTGGCCGCTTGAGGGAACCGGATTAAACCTTTTGGGCAAGTATAAGGGTGATTTACTAGAAAACTTAAATGCTTATTGTTGTTGTCTTAAAGCACGTGAGCACAGGCACCTCTAATATTCTGACTGCGTCGCTGGAGATAATTCGCATTTTTTCCAAACAACCAGTTTCTGCTACATTAACCATCGCAGGAAAAATTGATTTCTTACTGAAAGTGTTGCTATCGACGCCCTTCGTGGCCTTAATGAAGGCGTGCAAGAAGGAAATAATGCAATATACCAGTGGTACATTCTCTATAGAAGAAGGTTAGCTGCCTTCCCATCAACCTTTTATTAGCAAGTACTTCCCTCGCTGTATGTTATAGAACCTTGGAAAAGTATGTATGCGCAACACCAGACGAATATCACAAGCCTGCAGAGGCTGCGTGATGTCAATGAGCCTTTTACTGAAATTTACACCAGGTTTTTCCCTTTCATATTATCTACAACTTTTTTTGCTGGTCCGGACAGGTATTATATTAACTAGTCTTTTTATTATCGCTTAAGCAATTCTCTACAGCTTATCTCGGCATTTCTTCCACGTAGCTGCCCAGCTAACCCTCCAAGCGGGCAATGCTGCCCCTTTGGACACACTTGTTATGCCGTGTGTTCTTAACATGTCCTTCAAAGAAGTATCTTTTATTCCAGCACGTACCGAATACTCCCTTCCTTACTACATATCCCGGAGACTATGGAGCTTATTGGAGACCCTAAATTTAACACTCGCTACTTGGCAGCATGTATTGAAGCTGTGATGCACATGCCAAGCATAACACATGAACACTTTCTCGATCTTCAAAAATTGTTTATAGGATTTATAGACCAATTAGTTGACGTAAATATCATATTTCGCCCTGAAAATTTTGTCATTAACTATTTGGTATAAAAATCCAGACTCAAGTTCCACACCTCGTTAACTCATTAGGGAAGTTTCTGTATAGTAAAACTTTTTACGAAGTTTACTATCGCTCGGAAAAATTTCAGTCTCACTTCAATAGTGAGGGTATCCAATATACATGCTCACTTAGAAACTTGGTAATGTGAAAGACACACTTCAGATTGGTACTTCGCAGTACGTAAACTAGCAAACAAATCGTTGCCCTCACTGAAAACCTCTAAACCTATTATATATGAGTGGGAGACACTCAAAATAACTTTTTATATTCTCATAAGGTCTTTGTTTATTTGCTTTAGTGTTTAGTTTTATGTAGGTATCAAGTCATTTTAGTTGCTTTGATGAAAATATGGATAACGATAAACTTTTTTTTGAAGCTGTGGCTGCTGTAAACCGATTTACCATGCGTAATACCATTCCGTGGTGGCGCGCTTTACCATTTTCATTCGTTCAACCCGTAGAACGGTTGCCATCTTGTGGCGCAGAATCAACTGCGAAGCCTTTCATTAAGGACTGCTGTGCCACAAGAGCGACTCTATGCCGTCTTCTCAAAGCATTTTATAAAATTCCAATTAAATTACGTGGGATTTCCTGGTGGGAACCTCTAAAGCAAGTTTATTCCTCTTACTTTCCTGTAGGCTTGAGGTTTATATTTCTTAACAACAGAAAAATGGTGGCTCTTCTTGCACGAGCCGATTTTAAATACCTTTTAAAGTTTGGTAGGCGCCAAGAGGAAGAACTGAGCACATCCAGTAAATAAAAGAACTGCTTTTCATATACTTCTCATTTTCTTTTGCTTATAGAAAAGTCCTGTGATTGCCTAGACGTAGCGCTGCACACCTATATAGAGGTTTCTTTGCCGCTCTGTCGTTTTTTGCCTTTCTTACCACTCTTTGTGAGAATGTTAACTTTATTGGATGCTCAAATTCTAAAGTTTTTAAAGAAAAATTTGAAGACTGTGTTCAGCGCCTCGAGTTAATCCCGCTTAAGGGTGAGGAGATCGATACCTTTGCGCTACCAGTTGCAAAGGAGCTCCTTCGCTGGCTGGTATACTCATAAGACAATTATTGACAAGAAAATTTATAGTTAAAGCGTTAACAGAGAAGCAAAGCGTTTGAAGCAAAGTATAACTCCTCCAACTTTTTGGTTGAATTCTTCGGTAAGTAAATCGATTGCTTTTGGAAACTTTCACCTCATATTATATTTGTGTAGTAGCGGAAGACTCCAGAGACGGTGCGCTCATCTGTTCATTCCTTGAAGACTTTAAATCGAAAAAACACATGAGAGACTCAAGGGAAGGCGAATCGAGTAAGCCTGTTTTCAACACGTACGACAGCAACATTGAGGGAAGTAGCAGTGGAAAGAAAGCCATCCACCTCTACGAGAGCGGCGGCAGCAGTAATCTTTCAAATACACGGGACGTCGAAGCTCCTCTTCTTGCAAGAGTCCAAAGCCACTCCGAATGCATGAAACGATTGCCGTCATACTTAATAGTAGACACAAAGCGGCAGTGGCATTCCCTTGGCAGCTTTCTGACCGAGCAGACCCCTAATATATACCACTCTGCCACGGAGCTGGCGGGTCGTCCATTTGAGAAATTTTACCAATACCTCATCTGCAGCTCTGCGGGGAGGCGCTCCCTGTTGTTTCAGGAGGTCATGACGCAGTGCGCCACCACACTTCTGGACATGTTTCCTTTAAAAGAGGTGTTGCAGCGTTAAAACTTATAATCAAAGCAGTTGGCTTAATGACTTGATTTTCAGTCGACAAACAGTGCGCTTCACTGGTGGCTTAAACTTTATGAAACGTGGAAGGAGTATTTTGTTTTTGTGCCCACTGTTATAGAAAGCAGTGGCAAGGTAAGACTAGAGAGCTCTTAGCAATCTCGCTCTCAGTTTCACAATGATTTTTTTATTAAAAAAAGATTTTTGGTGCGTTTTCAAAGAAGCCGGGTTATCAATATTTGCTGGATGATATCTCACGCATAATTAAAATGCAACTGGATTTCTGTTTTGAATCATTAAAAATTTCAGAAAAAAGTACGCGAGTTCTTAAGTTTTTTATAAATCTTTCTAACCCCTTTAATCTCCATTTTTTGTAGATCTTCCCTGGTTCCTCTACGCACGCACTCACTTACTTTTTGCCACCGTTAATAGTAAGGTCACTTCGTAAAGTCACGCGCATGTGCTAAGTTGTCTAGCTATAGGTACAACCTACCTGCTCAAGGGGAAGCACACCCGGTCCATTGTAATTTCCAAGGCTGGTTATCCACTTCATTGAAGCTCATGGCCTCAACCATTTTACCCAATGATGTCGCAGATCTCATTATTAACTTTTTGAACTCCATATTTAACATGGTTGACCTATCAACCCATGCCAACTTATTACAAAAATGCATCGATTTTGTCTTTCGCTTGAGTGGAGTCCTTCTGCGCTTGAAAAAAAAGGAGGTACTGCGTGCTTTCACTTCTGGGTCTCTTCTGGAAGGTAACTAGTAAGTGGGTCGTAGACGAGCGTCCTTCAAGACCTCTGGCTAGCCACAGTGGCGTTGACAAAAAGAAAGGACCTTCCGAGCATGATACTCTGCTACTTTTTAAACGGTTTACAAAAACACTACGGAGGCCTTCTGGCTCATTCCGCGCACAAGTTTCCTTTTCAACTCATGTTTGACTCGTTTGAAAATTTAAGCAGGTTGCATTTCGGCTTCTTTGCCTTTGTAACATATCAATATTTTAATGGTTAAACAGTAGCGAAAAGGGCAGCGTAGCTGGTGCCTTGCCGGTGTCTTGCGTGCTAATGATTTACGCTGGAAGTACTGAGCTCATTTTCTGCACACCTTTTGCCGTTATATAGTTTACTCAGTCGATAGACAAAATGAAAAATTAATGGAAGAAAAAGTCTTATGTATGCTGCGTTGTATAACTCACGCCTGCGAGGCCAATGCACAACTGTACTCACAAATGTTGCCCTCGGTTTTATGTGCAACTTTCCAACCGCAGCAAATACTGTCGCTTACGATGGGTGAGTCCATAAATTAAAATAATACTATTTATAGTTTATATTTTTTTTCTGCAGAGGAGTTTATTAGTTGTGGAGCGCACAATGGAATATATATAAGCAAAATTATATTTGAAGTCATTCGACTCTTAATAACAGACGGAATTAACCTGGAAAACGACCAACTGGTTTGCAGTTCTATAATAAATTCTCTTAATAATTGGGTCCTGCAGAATCCGCGATACGCACACATCTGCTTAACAGTATTATTTTTAGCGGTTTCCAATGAAAAGAGGTTTCTCTTTATAAACTTCTGCTCACCATAACATGCTAATGCCTTGCCTAACAGATCATACTTTATCCTGAGCTACGTGATAAAGTTCTTTGCATTCCCCGAACTATTTCCAAAGCAGCTTTTCCACGCTCTTACTATGGACTTCTATAAAACGAAGGCAAGTACCAGAGTAATTTTGCTATGTTTTACGTTCAACTGTACTCAGATGCTTGAGGCCGCTGATCGCAAACTATTAGTAAAAACGTTCAAAAGTGCTAATTTGTCAATGTATGCCGAAGTTGCTGCGATATGCGAATCATGACAAGTAATGCAAGAGCTCTACTTTATTTTTAATAAAAAAATTCGTTTTTTAAAAGCTGACATTTAAATAAGGTCATAAATTATATAGTAAAATCACTTGAGTTTGATTTCTAGTTTTATATTCATGGCTGCCAGCTCCGAAACAAGATATTTAAAAACATAAGGGACTGCCACAACTTCGATGCCGGCCGAGGTGTTGCAAATTATGCACACGCTCCGGCGCTTTAATGGCGATAGTTATAAAATAACTACCGATTATATACTAGAGACTACCTTCTTAGAAATAGCCGAAGGCTTTTCAAGGAAAGGCGATAAGAGACTACCGCACAGCGTACAGATGTAGCTCTGCAATGACGTGTTATAGGGGAGTTCAACTTAGTAAAGCCGCTTAAAAGGTGCATACGGTAGAGGCGTCCGAACAGTTGAAAAGCCGGTCCTGAAGCAAAAATGAAACGCCGTGCGCAAGAAGGGAATCACGCTCCATTTCACCCAGTCGGATACCCCCTTTCCGGCGTCTACCTTTCACTGGTTGGTGGGTAGTGGGGTCGATGGGCCCTGTGGTTCGTACTTGGAACTTATCGGAAACCTTCAGCAGGGGACTGAGTATATCGACATGCCCACTTTTGATAATAATTTACCATGTGGCGCAGTCTCTGGTAGTACACAACGCCCATGAAAATGTCTACCTCCAGCTCTGTACCATTAATGCCGCTGTACAAACGCTCACTTCCTGTTAACAAATCGACAGCGGCGATCAGCCTGCGCCTTTAAACCAGCAAAGGTTTTTCTTACCGTAATAGTTATAACCGGCCTGGACCAACTGCTGTCCAAAATAGTCGTACGCCGTTTCCTTCTCGCTGAAGGTAAAGGGGGTCGAGTCTAAGCAGAGACCATGCAATGCACCGCTTTTCCCGGCCATACTCTCAATAAGCATGCCTATATCATAAAAGAGAGTCCTAAATGGGCAAAGGCTCGTTAGCGGATACCAATCGTCATGCGGGACGGAAAGGCGTGCGGGTTGATTATCAAGTCTGGCGAGAAACCGCTTTCTGAAAATGGCATGTCCTCCTCACTCCAAAGCTTACTGCACACACCCTTCTGACCGTGGCGAGAGGAAAATTTGTCACCAACGACGGGCTTGCGATTTATCCGGAGCTTCAAGTGAAGCCTCCTGCAGGGAAGGTTAGAGGGGTGGTTGAGGAGCAACCGGACCTGGTCGATCACGGCGGGCTCTGAGTCTTGAACGCGGTGTGTAAAGCGCTTTATGAGGGGCGCAAGACGACACCAATTAACCTTTGTAACGCTCAATCCTCGAGATGTTGGTGTCTGTGTCCACAGTGCAATATAGAGGGTCCCCATAAGAAACCCTCGCGCCAACGATGGGAAGCCCATCGGCATCGACTTTTCCGCGGAGAGCTACGGGCAGTGTTTAAAAGCAGTAGGTTGGCGGTGAGGAGAAGACCCGGAAACCGTGAAGGTCGCTGGGGAGTGTGCCAAAGTGTTTAGATTGGAGGTGTTGTCTAGAGGCTAGATCTACCAGCTTGGACTTGTACACAGCTCCATGCGCGAGCCCTCTCTTGATGCTATGAGGAAAAAGGAATGGAACTATAAAATGATAAAAATACTTCTACAGAGGCCTTGTTTAGAATCATAGCGTCCTCCATATCGTAACCGGTATAGGAAATGACGGCCACAATAGCGTTGGTGCCTGGTAAAGTACGGCGCTTAAAAAAAAACACGAAAAGTTCTGGTTTGGCCAAACCTAACGGGTAGCTGTCCAGGCCGTAATAATCGTACAGCACCGACCTAACGAGGGGCACCTGAGGGGTGTACAAGCGATAAATGCTATTGTCTGTGCGGTGCGGATAAGCAGTGAGTGGGGTGCCCATAGTCTGCTTGGCCATCTGACATTGGTACATGTTGCGCGGCGATTGGTTCAAGTCGCTGAAGGGTATTAGCTGAGGGAGACCCAAGCGAGGGTTACATAGCAGCCTACCTGAACGGAGTCAGGTGGGCAACAACCGAGAGGATATTGCCGGGGCTTTGCTCCATGTGTGTGGTCGCCTCATACCTTTCTTCAGCGCAAACGGCAATATTCAAGAAGACCTTCGTAAGTAACACAAAAGTAGCGATAAACTGGCGCCGGTGGAAGAGCAGAGCAGGAGAAACTTGTTCAAACGTGCCAATAAGTTCGACTGCGGAGGATTCCAAGTGAATGACAGGTCGGACCATGCGCGAGGGGCTGGCAAACAAATACACCCCAGGAAAGAGTCCGCCCAGGGTCTTTTCAATGTGAGTGATCTCTAGACTTGCAGGTACCTTGAAAAAAAATATAAAAAAAACTAATAGCCAATCGGTATAATTAAAAACATTTCCAGCCCTCGCGACTTTTAAATACCGCAAACTGCGACAAAATTCCGCCGCACGCGACGAGTCTATATAACCTTAAATAGCGGTTAAGACTTCCATTGCAATAAATAAAGGTAAACCAACCAATAATGCAGCCATCAAGGTTAACGGACAAATAGGAGGCAGGACAGAAGGTCGAGCTGCTCGAGAGCATTCCAAAGGAAACAGCCAATGCAGGAATACTTGCAGTGTCCTCCGCATAAACAACAATCTTTTTCAAAGTTAGTCGCCATCGAGAGCGCTTCATAGCAATGCAAGCGGGACCTGGCACGTGTGGCTCAAATGGTTCAACAGACCACAGGGCGCGCCGTCCGGAGTATGGACAGGACAAAGAAACCCTGCAAAGCGCAAGTACATTGTGAAAAAGGAAATGAGATGAGATGAGCACCCCAAGCTTCGGGCAGGAGTTTCCTAACAGACGTCGTTCGCATATCGCTGAAAAAGGAGCCGCGATGAACGCTCCGAAAGTGAGACAGATAGCGGTAGAAGTTCAGCTTATCGGCCTTCAACACAAATCCAGAAGTCTTAACAAATATACAGTAGCATAGGCCCCCCTAGAGCGCACCAAAATGCACACTTACCTGCTGCAGATCAAGTCCGGAGCGCGATTTGATGTTTCCGGTAGCAAGGAAGTTGTCGAGGCGGCCCTCCACTGAGACGGGACAAAGTTTGATGCAGCGAGTGAAGTAAGAATCTAGAAAAGATTATTATAGTCAATTAACATACTAAGCGGTAAAGCAGCAGCGAAAGGCACCGCGCGAGAAATCGATCAGAAGGGCATCGCGGCGGGCGTCCGCTTCAATGACCTGTTTGACGCCGTGCAGCCAATCCTGGAGCTTCTCCTTCAGAACGGCCAAGTACAAGTGGCCGGGAAGAAGGACTTCCTGCATCATTGGCTGGTCAAGGTTGTCCAATGAACAACCTCCTTGGGCAGTCCCGTACAGCTTTTGAATCATGTTACTATATAGAGGAAAAAGCGGATTAATTTTAATGCCAGAAAGAGAACAGTAGCCAAAGAGAGACATCAAAAGATCAAACTTCTGAGAAGGTTTGGAAAGATGTACAAAAACAACTTCGTCAATAAGAAATCGGCCCACGTCAAGATCGGAATAGCGAGTCGACAAATTAGTAACTACTCTAAACTTTTTACCTTGCAGGGAAAAATTATAAAATTAATAAGGAAGGTATCTATTATATACAACAGAGCAAACCTAAATAAGTAAGAGCGTGTTCCTGCGTATAAATTCCTTTGTTCAAGCAATCTCTCAACATTCCTTCCAGTCGATCACCAATAAAGCTGTCTGCGTTTTCTGGATTCGCACGGTAGTAAATTTCTTTATCCGTTGCATTCTTCAGCGCCTTGTAAATAATTAATATTTCCTCTTAAACTTTTTTTTCCGTAAGTCATAAGTACAAACCTTTAAAATAAGGACACAAGGCACCAAATATTCACCTTTCATGTAGTGAAAACGAAAGACGCAAGTACCATCAAGAAGGTAATGCAAAGTAACAGTTACTGCAGAAGCATCGCTTCGAACGCAACGAATTTGCACAGCTAGTTTTGTAAAAAAAGTTCCTTTTTTCTTGAAAGAAAAACGACTTATGGACATTGGCTATTTATAAAAAAAGTTAGAAAAAAATTATTATAAAGAATCTTGAAGGATAATAAGTCATATAAATACATAATTTCTTCTTGGCGCAATTAATAAGCGTACAACTTTTTCGATTCCATTTATAATAAAGTAACCGCCAAATTCGGTGGGTTCCTCTCCAACTTTAATTAATGCTGGAATGGACTTGTCGCGAATATTACAACGGTCAGACTTTAAATAAATTAGAAGTATGATAAAAGTTTTTTTATAAAAAGTAGTAAAAGTAGACCTTAACCATAACTGGAATATTTCCTATAGTGAAAGTTTTCGAGTAGGTATTATCATCAACTGTACAGTCAAGTTTAATTTGTAGGGGAGCCTTATAAGAAATGAGTTGTTCGCGACAATGTGTCGGTAATAATTGTTGATGAGCTAAAAAAATTGTATACAAAGACTTTAACTAAATTCTATAGTTATAGAGCAAGAATTGACATTACTTAGTGTAGATACAGGGAAACCAAGCTTAGGATCTGAAAATTTTAATGTGTATATCTTTCCACTGCCATCAACGGCTTCTACAGAATGGAGATTGTTAACAGCAGATGGAAGACCGGAATTTATCATAAAGTTAAAAGAGTCTATGTGAGGCTTGATAAGATCGTGTAGAGGAACATTAACTTCAGTGGGTATATCCGACCTTGTCAAAGTGTTAAAACTCAGGACGGTCATCGCGTAAGTTTATGAAAAAAATCATTTAAGTTTTAAAAAAGAAAAGCTGAACGGCATCTATAAGTTTCAGATAAAGTCCCACGTGACTTCAGTTTCAGATTCTTCCTGTTCAAATTCTTTATATAAGGCTCTTTTCAAGTTAACGTTAGAAAAGACTTCCTCATAATTTAACCAACTCACGCCATAAAATGGTTCTTCTTCCCTATAAGATATGATTTTAATGGTCCTGAAGGCAATCTCTTGGAAAAGCTACCTCCTTTAAATTCAAGTCTAATTAATTAGCAGAAGAATATTCATTACGAATTGCTAAGGTCTTCTAACCGTTTCGTGCCGACTGGATAGAAAAATAAAAGATGATGACTTGATTTTAAAAAACCACACTAGTAATTTCTTTAAACTCTGACTACCTTAAAAAAAATTTATGCAATTGGTTTGTCACACTTACCGGCTATACTAACTTTACAGATCATTTAAGGGAATAAAAAATCCCCTTCTTAACCCCTCATAGGTTACTGTTATCATGTTTACCACTTGTTGTCTAGGTTCAATTTGCAAGAGTAGATCTACGGGAATTGACCTTAAACGACAGGTTCGGTCTGAAACAAGCTCTGATAAATTTGAGTACCATGTTCTAACGAATTAGGCGGCAACCAACAAAACATAGAAGAGTGGTAAATTTGGTTACCAGTGAACGTAAAACAACTCTATTTTAAGCCCCAGAATTATACCTCTTAAAGGGTTGATCTCTGTAGCTCTGAGTTTGCAAGAGTGGGCTGTGCAAGTCACTGAAGGAGCCCGCCTACGAATAATTATTTTCTGAAGAACTTAGTAAAAAATTGCAATCCCTTTATTAACCTCAAAATTCTCTGAAATAACTGCAAATCTTTTTTTTATTAAAAGTAATTCTGAGATTTTATTTAGTTTATATTTTTTATAATATTAATTTGTTTGCAAAAGTTTTGTAGTAAACTTTTTAAGTTTCGAATTGGAAATTTTATTAAAAGTTACTAAATTTAGTAATAAGAGTGAGAAAAGTGACCGAGCATGGGCACCACTACTCCCGTTTCATTTTTACAAATGTTCGGTATTTAATTTAAACATGAAAATTTTGTCATTTTGAAAAGGTTGTTGTGAACTCGCATAGTGCATCTGTTAATTTTTAACGTGTATCTGCTTTTCAAGGTAATAACATTAGTTTTTTTTATCAACTTTGTAAGTGGTTAGTGGCGGGTAGGTAATTAAAGTTGCATCTAATAAAAGAACATACCTGGTTGATAATAAGTTTCTGCAGCTCGTGAATAGACAAAAATTAAGGTCGCTTTGATGAATTTAGTACGCCATGAACTTTCGTTTTAGTATAACTATATTTAACTTGTCCCTATTTAGGAGATACATCCTTGGGATAAAAAAACAGATGCTAAAGCAAACAGCTCAAACATAACCGTTACAAAAAAGTAAACAAAATGATCTTCTCCGAAGCACATTTGAGTGTGGGAGAGAAAGTTTTACAATCAGGGATATTACAACAGTCCTTGTTTTTATTGACAATTTATCAATGTTTAAAGAACCACTAAAAAGATGCCATTATTAAAGATACCCAGCTGTATTTTGTTTACGATGGCAAACAGAAAGCAAGAGCCTTAAGAGACCAGTTTCAGTTTTAGTTTTATCCACAATAATATCACAGACAGGCTTAAAAACTTTTATGCAGACGCCCTATCTCCTTAGTTCAGCTTAAGCAGTCTGCTTGGGTACAGCTCTTGCTCTTAGTTGACAGCTTAGGCTTGGTGATTAAGGAAAGCTCTCGGGGGTATCTGAAAGTATAACAGTGCTTAGCGAATGTGTTCAAAGTTGACCCGCTAAACCGTAGCTGAAAACTCTAAGGTTAACGGCTGCTGGAAAAGAAATCCCATAGCTAAATTAGATATTAGTTACTGTCTAACAGGAACAATATCAGATTCAAAAAAGCATGCCTCAATTATATAACGAAGATTGTTCAATTACTACGAATGCTCGATAAGCTCTCTGTGCTTCGATTAATAATGATTTATCAACTATTTTTTGACCTTCTAGGTTAGTTATTCAAGGCTGAGTACATCAGATTAATCTTAGGACTTGTACTCTAATATATAATTTTCATTCTCCTTAAAGAGGGCATTTTTTCTTCTTCGGCGTGGTGGAAAATTATTAATTTTTTAAGGTCTAGAAATTACTCAAGTGCTCGATTTAAGAAAACTCACTTTATCGCCTCAGAGGAGTTAGAAATTCTAAAATCGCTGTCTAGGGTTTAAAAACCAAACTGTTGTACTGCTGCCGATGATAGACTAGTTTAGCTGTCTGCTCTTGAACCTTTGGCTACCTTTTCCTAGGAGCCTACTCGATAATTTCAGCTCAAGCCCTGGAAGAAGTTCGCTAGATTTGTTGTAGTAATGAGAAGTAAGCGCTAGTTACTTCTCTTAGCAACATCATAGCATAATACTACCCATACCAAAAAGAAAAATAAAAAGTGAGCTGATAATGACAACTTTCATTTCAAAAGACCAACCAACAAAGTTCGATAAACAGCTTTTAAGTTAGTTTATCCAATGTATTTGCAAGACTATAGCTAATGCCAAGGGCAAAGATGAGCAAAATAATTATTAGTTTGCCCGGGGCCCTTCGCGGCTATCTTATAGTACTACTAGCTAATATTTATATACACACAGAGCTCATACTATACATACATTCATTATACATATAATACAAGCACTATGTCACCAAGCGAGGAGCCAATAAGAGCGCTCCCACCGGCAGCCTATAGACGCAGACAAGTGCCATTCCGTCACTCATTACACAAGTCAGTTAAGCAAAAGCTTTCGCACGCAGTTAGTAGCTAGAACCAATATACTTATGTAACTTAGCATGTTTCACCAAATTATCAACCAATGTTCAACATGATTATGCAGCAAGTTACGAAGAACAGCCACACTAAGGCAACATTAGTAGTAATCGCGCAAGACGTTTAAATTTAGTGTCATATAGATTCATCAGGATTGACATAACACTGCTTTATTCGGAGTTAGGTAACTTTTAGCCGATTGATTTATCTTAAAACGCCGGACAGTACCTTTCAGATATAGGTAAATTAGAACCTGCTTCAAGAGTCTATTCCCTGCTCTGTTTTTACCATTTTTAAGAGCATTTTTTTCAACACCCAACGAACCTACTACTCCCCAAAGTAACGTGCAAGCTTCAATGGTTCAACAATCTAGCAGGGCGACCATTATCAGAGTCAACGGTTTAATCTTTCAATGAATGGAGTATGAGTCGAGGGCAAATCGCTTTAGTTCACATTTTTATTTCAACGAAAGTCACGAAAGACATCGATCCTAGAGGGATTCTAAACGCCACCAGACGGCATAGTGTTTATACCAACACGTCAGACCATCTTTGGATGGTACTCTGTAGTCTTCATTCGTTGTTTCCAATTACCGGAAGAGATCAGGAATAACAAGGGCAACAGGCGCATCAAGATAGGGCTCGATCTTTTCGGACGCTATACGACATGCTTCTAGGGACAAAAACCAATATCCTCTCTTTGCATGAAGAGTGTACCACAATGACGGAAGGCTCACAAGGTTCGAGCCAACAGTCCAAGGCACACAAAAACGCGCCTAATGCCTCCACTAAAGACACCAACCACCACCGCTGAGGTATAACCCAAAGCACCTAACTTTAAATCATGATAGAATGATAGCCTAGGTAGCGATGAACCCATGGGCAAAGAAGGTTGCATGCATACGCCCGCGATAAAAGCGAGATAAAAAAAAAAATGGTTAAATGAGTGCACAAGACATGCGCAAGCAACGAGAAAAACGCTTGAGCCGACAAAAACGCATCTCTCTTAATACGTGTTCTTCAAGGTGCTTAATTATTACAGTTAACAGCACTAAATTGACATGCCCATGTTAATCGCTTTTTTACTCGGGTCTTTATAAAGTTAAATCCCTAAAGTTTGGTACTAAGGTTGTTTAATAGGTTTATTAACTATTAGAGCAAATATGTTTTGTCCTATTTAATGTTAAATTTAAAGAATTTGACTTGTCTTTAGCAGACCAGTTGCATATGAAGAAAAATACAATAGACATTTTAAGTAAGGTTCAATTATACGACAAATAGTGTGCTTAATCGGGTTGCGTTATTTAGTTAAGTTTAAATAGAGTTTATAAACTCTGACAGGGCCTTTAGTAAACTGTCAAAGAATGAGGGCCTGAAGGGTCTTTTTGTTTATTTCGATTTTTAGCAGAATAATTTAGCGAGACTTCTAAGTGTTTTTTATGTTCGGATTGATTAAAACTTACCCGGTACCGTTCTCTGAAAGTTTAATAGGAGGACAGGAGTTAGCTAGCCCAAAATAGGCAAAATAAGTGGTTAAGCAGGGCACTGAGCTTGAGCTTAAAAACCTCATTTCAATATTATCTAGTAATCAAAAGGACGCTTGCTGGTAAGCTGACATACTTGGTTTGGAGAGATCCGATCTAAAGACACTCCTGTATCGAACACAGTTTTATTGAAGCAAGAGGTTCATGGTATTCACTATGTCGTAAGCATAGCAATAAGCAAATTAGCAAAATAGAATATATTACCTTATTAAGCAACATTAATGTTATTGAAATAAGAACCAATCTGAATAAGGACTTGTTTCTAATTTTAGTCATTAAAAAATTGTATTTAATTATATTAGAGGGGAGAGCTTCTCTTAGACGGAGCATCGTTATTGACCTTAATGATTTACAGTCTTTTAGGCTACTGCTTAATAAATGCTTGTAAATTCTAGCTCTGGTTAATGTTTCTAAACCAAGTTTAGGCGAATAGAATTTATTTAATTGTCCAATTAATCTTGGAGGAATTAGAGTATATTTCAATGTCTTTGTTCAAACAAGACGGAAGTCTAGGTTTATTTTTGTTATTAAGTAGGAGCTTGTTGAAGTTTCTCATAAAAGGTCAAGGTTCTTTGTCTTCTATTGTTGGTCAATAGTGGCTAGGAAGACAAATACCACCTGCTAATTTGCACCTTTCATAGCTTTTTTAAAGGCCTTATAAAGTTTAATCCATTTTTAATAGTAGCTATTTCTAACTCACTTCTTTCATTTTCAAACTGGTGTTGGTTTCTATCTCTATAACCGTGAGCGAGGATTCATAAAGCGCTATAGTAATCTGATATGGAATCATATGTAGTTTAAGTATAAGAACTGTGTTGAGTTTATACTCTGGAACTGTTGCTTGCAGTATTAAGTCCTCTATTTCTTTCATAAAGACGGTTATATTCTCCTTGTCGATTTTAACAGGATTAAAAAACTTAATTTGGAATATATTTTCTGTAGTTCCACTGATTTCAAAGTTAGTCATGCTTTACTTAAAGTTTAACCCCAGAAAGTGTTAAGAAGGTTCTTGGTTAGTTTTTTATTGAATTCTATTACACCAGGGTGCTTTTGACCGTCTATAGTTTTTCCTGTAGCTTTAATGTAGCTAGTGTATTTACCGGGGTACTGAAAATTGATTGAATATTTAAAGAGAAACATAGTTTCTACTGTGATTTGATATTTTAGAGACTTTAAATACCTGACATCAGTCAACTAAAGTCATCTAATCCCTCTCACGCCTAGTGAAGCATATGGCGTTCAATATCAGTACTTTGAATGCCTTTCGCTGGAGCTAAAGAATTTCGAGCAAAACCCAACTTATCACCAATCAAGTAGTTTAAGTAAGATTTTAAATTACCATAAAAATCAAATCCTAGATTGAATTTAGGTTCTTGAGGGAAGCCCTTAGTAGTCAACAAACACCCTAGTCTTTTCTAAATTATTGAACAGTCCTACGCATGACCTTCAACTGCATAGGGAAGGAGCGCCTACACAAAAACTAATGTTTAGGTTTCAATTACCAAATTTAAGCGCGGTTTTCCCAAATTGTAAGTAACAACCAATAAATTACTTTATGACAATTAAAGATTAGTTACATAGAAGGAGGCCGCTAAATATAAATGAATAAAGGTTAATACACACTCTAGGCTGAACCGTAAGTAATGGCATACATAATACCCAACGCAAGATGCCTGGATGCATAAGGAGGCCGGGCACCCAATGAATAGACCCATAGGTCTGGGTGTTCAAACACACGTAATCGGTTTCTGCTTTAAAAACGCTGACTCAGAGCAGCTAGATGTGCAACCCAAAGCCAATTCAGAAAGAAACCCATTCTAGAGCTAGTAATAAGGGCACTACCCTAATACTTCCTCCATAGCTCCTAATGAAAATCTCTAAACCATGGTGAAACCAGTATTACTTGGCGGTCCGCAGCGGTACTCATGCTATAAAGCTTTTATAACATACGTCACATTAAAATTTGACAGAAAGGAACAAGTGGTCATACCCTCCTGGGAGCGCTAAAAAAAAAAGCGCGTTTAGGGGAGACAACTAGCGTTTAAGGTGCTGATAGCCGAAGAGACCTGGTGGGCCACCTTTCCTCATTGAGGTGTTTTTTTTCCCACCACCATCCTATGCTGACTGACTAGAGTCCAGGCTTGAAACGCCAGCTTTTCGGAGCAGCGGGGGTTACGCCTTCAGGTGATATATGAGCGTCCTCTCTTACCCAAAACAGGAGTATGTGGTATTATTTTTTTACTTAGGAAACCTAATATATCAGTAAGGTACAGCCCGTTTAAATAGTATACTAATAACTAAAAATACATAATACCAATAAACATGCAATAAACGTGCGAGTAAGCTTGAAGGGGGGGAGGGGTTTCTCGGAACATTCGAGGTGGTGGCCCCTAGGGTTGGCTTTCAATCGGCAACACCATTTTATACCCCGAAACCCTCCAAGTAGACATCCTAAGGCCCATCCCGGGGTAAACACCTAAACAGCGAAACTTTCGACCTAATAGGTAGTGCTGGCGCCGCACCAGCTAAGCCCTCGCCCTTCAGGGCCGCTAGGTCTCGGTTAGAGGATAAGCAAAGTAACACTTTAAAAATACTAAAATAGCCCTTTTTTACTAGTTATTTTTTGCCCTCAGTACGCGTAATATAATATATATTAGGCGCCTAAATCAAAGGTGGTAGTAGGAAAGAAGCAGAAAAAGGTTTTACTGAACTGCTCTACGCCTGCGCCCGTATAACAAAAGTGAGATAGAAGGCGCAGTTACTTGTAATGCATAAATATAATATATACTGAAATATAAAGATCTGTCGAAGCCTAATAGTATCATCTCAACTTAAAAGCAATCAATGTTCAGGTTTGTAGTGCTAAAAAGTCCAAGTATAATTGAATATAATAGACAAAATCTAAAATATATAATCTATATAGAAATAATTTGTAACCTAGAGAATAAATAAGCCTAGTAGTAGCTAACTTAGTGTATTGGAGTAAAACATATCGTACTCAAATACCACACACTCCGGTCTAGTATAAAGAAAATTCAGGTATAAAATATAGGAAGTATAAACTCTATCAACAAGTGAAATTATCATATAATAAAATATATAACTTAAATACATATATAAAGTTTGCTATTACGTACTCAAAAAGTTTATATATTATGCTTATTCTAAAAAATTTAAAATAGGCTAGATGCTGTATAAAGAATATCCAAAATAAGGAGAACTCCAAAACGTTGTACTATCTAAGCATAATGCATCTAAATTATAGGAAACGCTAAAATAGATGAACACTATGTTATTAAAACATAGCGTACTATAATGTAAGTGACTAAAACAGCTCCATTTATTAAACAGAATAGATTAAACTATAGCCGAACTTATCTTCTTTATATAAAAAATTATTTTTATAGACAAATATACTTAAATTTAAAAGCCGGCTAAGTGGTGTAGGGTCATAAAGAAGTCGGTAGACTGGCCAGGATAAAGTTCTCGGTATACAAGAGATCGCGTGCAAGACGATTATTATTACTAAGGCCAAACTTTTCTTATAAAAGCTTAACTTGTACTCTTTAATTTAATTACCAGCTTTATTTTTTTCTTTACTATAATAAGGCTTACGGGGATTTAAGTCCTGTAGGCTTAAAGCTCTTTTATTTAACAAGCAGCTCTTATTTTTTTTTAGATAAGTCACCGCCGATGGCCTTTTTAGTCAAGCAGTTATTTTAATCGAGTTTCCAAAATTCAATATCATCTTTCTGGCCTGTACCGTTCTGAAGCTCAAACTTATTCTCTTCAAACCACTTCCCAAGAGACGACACCACTTCGTCAATCCCTACTCCCTTCATAGTCGATGTTTTGTAAACGCCAACCACGTTTAGTTCTAAGTAAAAAAAATTTCAAACAACTCCCTAATGTTAATTTATACTCTCCACCGTGCAATAAATTCTGATAGTGAACGTGATTTTCTATCTGAATCATTTTTTGGTAGAGCTGCGAAGAAGACAACAAGTCGACTTTGTTCCAAACAAATAAACAAGGCCGACACAAAAGAGTCGAATTATACTCTCTAAGTTCCAACTATAAGCAATTCTTTAGCCAAAAAAAAAAACTTCCTATAACGAAAAGCATACAATTAGCTGAGCTAACGACTCTACAGGGTCAAAAAAAGCATCCTAAAGCATATGGTATAAAAAATGAGAACACGGACAATACAAAGCAACAAAGAACTTACTGAAGCACTCAACTGAAAACCATTAACATCCACTAAAAAGATCAAAAATTTGGTACGTTCGATATGCCTCAGAAAGCGAAAACCAAGCCCCAAATTTTTATGAGCTCCTATAATAGTTAAAAGATCGGTGTTCGCGGATGAAAAATGATTTTCATAAAAAGTGACCTGCGATCAATCCAGGTAAGTCTGCTACCCGAATGACGTCACCAGACTTTGTTTCCACCACACCCACTTCGGGCCGCAACGTAGTGACTAACAAAACCATAAATAGTAATATAAAAGTTGTAACGTCGGCAGAAAGCAACAGAGAGTGTGCGGATGGCCTACAAGGATAAGAGGCTATCTTCGGCTCCACCGATGAGATGACGCTTAGAAGTGTGGACTTCCCGGCGTTAGGGAAACCAATCAATCCGACATCGGCAATAGTTTTGAGCTCCAAAAACAAATTTCTAATATTTACGTAATAAAGTACGGTAAAAGTAAATAATTGAGCGGCTAACCGTCTTTCCCTATCTGTGGGACGGTAGGGAATGGGGGTGTCCTCAGAACCGCCCAACCCGCCTTTAGCAACTAACACTTCCATTCCTTCTCTATCAATATCTGCGATAATCTCCTTTGTCGTTCCTATTTAATAATTTAGGTTAACTTAAAAAAAGGTTTAAAGAAAATTATACTAACGAAACAAAGCGGTTGTATGCTTAAATTAGAAAGCGGAAAAAATACACTTATACAATACTACAGTTCTGTTAAAAAAAGCCTAGAAGCAAATGTATTTAAAAATAGTATTTATATGTAAAGTTTACTACCATATGATACATGGACATCTTAGATAAAGTGGATAAATCACAAAGATAAAGATTCCTTAAACTCAATAAAGCTATAAAATACAGTAAAACACAAGTATTAGCGATTAGCGCGTAGTAAAAACAAAAGCTTTGTATTTAACAAGTAAACAAAGAAAACCCACCATCCCTAATAATCGTGCCAAGGGGAACTGGGATTAGTAAATCTTCACCACTTCGGCCTCTGCGAGAAAATCCACGGCGACAGGGCTTGTAAAAATAATATAAAACTTGTTTAAAAATTATGGTTAAAAATTCAAAACTAACAAATGCTTCAAATACCTCGCCAGGACCAGCGATATACTTGCCTGAAGAGGGTAGGTTACAATCTGCACCAACAAGAGTCACACTATTTAATAATTATAAAGTTGCACTTATATTTAAAAAATAAATAAAACCAACCTTCCTCCATTTCCACCAAGTCCACCAAAAGTGGGTCCACCAAATCCTCCTTTTCATATATAAACACAGAGTTCGCTGAACCCATAAGAAACGTTCAAGCTAATCACCCGTCCCACCAGAAACGTGAACATAGCAGTGATCCCTAAAGTCAACTTGATGTCGAATAGGATATTTAACTATTTTAGAACTGGTATCAAATCCATATTTTAGCTTATTTTTAATTGAAGGTCTGCAGATGAATTTCAATATACGTGGAAATAAATATATAGTTATCTGATAAGCTAACTACTGCAGAATGGACATTACTTGTAAATAATTTTTTTCTTAACATATAAACGAAAAAGAGACTTAAGCCGGGAAACATATAGTGGTGAGAAGGACGTTGAAACATCTTATATTAGAAAAGTTACATATTTAATAGTTATAAAACCAAAAATAAGGTTATTTATGCCAAAATAATAAGAAAAAACAATGAGGGAAAAAACCTGAAAGATGAAAACCAGCGTACAAAAAAAATCGAGCCAAAAGCATAAGAGAAGGTGAAATATATATATATAATTAGGTTATAGTGTTTAACTAAATACTGTCATGGCAAGCCGTTGATGTAGGCACTTAGACGGCACGCCTAACAAACTATATACCGTTCAATTGACCACTTCTGTAGTCGCGTGCTAACTTTGACTGAAAATTTGTAAGTTCTTAATATTAAAACTAAACACTTTTTCCTTTAATTTTATTACTTAATTATCTAAAAATACTCTCTTTTTTCCATTGGAAACAAGGGAAACTTCACTGTCTATCCTTGTATCAGGGGCTTGCTTACATAAGACTTCCACTTAAGATCAAGGGTGAATTGTCTACCCAGACTACGCCTGTTTTTAAGTTTGCCATAAAAATAAATGTAGTGTTTTGCCAAGGGCATAAGAGGAAATAAAAACGCCCTTACTTTTTCACACTCCGATTAATTCTTTCTCTTTTACTAAACGAGTACTTTACCAATGAATCAAATCTCGAAATTGGTTTATTTTGTTAACTGTATTAGAAAGTTGTGATTCCGTTGCACTTATAAACCATAAAGTTGATACCACAATCCTATCGTAAACTGGCCAAAGATAATTTATCGTTCTTCTCGCAATTTTATCACTTAAGGAAGGAGAACTGATACTAACCCTCAGATGACGCATTATGTACCTTAGAAGTTTTAATAGACAAAGTAGAAAAATTAATCTCATTCCATTGTGGAAACCAAGTATATATACTTTAGTTATGCGTCTACTACCGTGCATTTATTTTTGCACCGTTCACTTCCCACTTTCTTGCATGAACCAGCTAATATTGTTTTTGCTAGTTAAAGTTTTTACGCTTGTTGACTTGCCAGAGAGGTTACAATAGGGCGCTGATCAAGAAGGATGACAAATGAAAGGTCTTTTTCATTCATGACTTGATACATGATGCGAATACCAAAAGATTCCATTTGGTAATTCTAGATCACCTGCTGTGTTTCACACTTTTATAAATAGTTTAAAAAAAACCCTAAAAGTTGCCTTTACCAAGAAGTAAAGGTTAGCATAATCTTAACCGCAGAGATTCCCAAAAAAAAGGGGGGGTGCAATTTTAAGTCAAGCTTGACTTCCGCTTTTGGTGTGCCCTTCCATAAGTGCATTAAATATTTTTTGTGTCCGTTGTTTTTAACCACAAAATTCTATTTTTCGCACAGTGTGTCATCTTCAGGTGCTTAATATTCTTTTTATGGGGGTTTGTTGGGCGGAAACAACTTTATATATTTAAAAGTTCTGTTTATAACATTTTTGGAATT